TTCATTGTGTTGCATGCTGGTAATAAAAAAGGTTTTATTCGCGATGCCGCATTGGTTTACTCCACGAGGTCCAAACTGGCGGATTATCATGGTGATATGAACTCAGAAATTTTTTTGAAATGGTTGCAAGAACAATTCATCCCAAATTTACAGGAACCTTCTCTAATTATAATGGACAACGCGTCTTACCATAGCGTCTTAATGGAAAAACAACCAACGGTTTCATGGACTAAAAACAAAATTAAGGAATGGTTGGAAGAAAATAATATACCATTAAATAATGATATGTTCAAAGTAGAACTTTTAAATTTAGCCAAGAAACATAAAAAACCAATACGATATAAGGTTGATGAATTGCTACAAGAAAATGGACATGAAGTTTTAAGATTGCCTCCGTACCATTGTCAATTTAACGCAATTGAAATGGTATGGGCCGATGCAAAGGATTATTATAATAAACATATTGGTGAAGATGGCTATGGCAATGATAAAGTGCTTACTATGTGGGAACGGGCATTACAAAAAGTTACTCCAGAATCATGGAAGTCAAAAATAGCACACACTGAAAAAATTATAGAGGAATGGTACAATAAAGAAAGAATCTTGGACGATGATCATGGTAATGAAATGATAATCCACATTGGTAACGTCAACGACGATGAATCGGAAGATGATAGCGATTAAGATATTTTATATATAGATATTAACATATTAATCCTTTCGCTGGCGTACTAAATTTAGTACATCGTTTTCTACAATTTTTTTTATCTACTTGACTGAATTTTTATCCATTTTCTCACATTCTCATGTCCTAATTTTAGCACACCTTGTAAAAAAGAAACTAGCAAAAATTTGAGGTACCAAAAAATAGCAAATAATTATATTGTTTTATGTTTTATAAATAATTCGTGAGCGAAAGGGTTAATAGATGAAAATAGATCCTTTTAATGCAGTTAAGAGCATTTATCATTAAATTATTAAATAAACCAATATTTTTCAGAGTATATTGCATTTTACTATTAAACAAAAATTAGACGTCCCATTTTTGTCTTCATTTGAGCTTATTGGTGTGTGCAATCTCCACAACTAAATGATTATATAAAATAATATCTTAACCATTGTGCATTATACAAATATTAATATTTCCAAATTAATTAACATACATATTTTGAAAATTTGCAAAGTATCTTAACCATTGTGCATTATACAAATATTAATATTTCCAAATTAATTAACATACATATTTTGAAAATTTGCAAAGTATAGAGAATTTTTTAGTAGTAGAATAGGTACCCTTAATTTTCTCCACGCAGAATGGGTAACGCAAACGATATAATTTAAAATTACAATAATTTAATATATATAAATTACAACGTTTCATTTAATAATATATTTACATAAGAGTTACTGTTGTAATAAATTTGCACGTTCAAATGAAGGATTTAAGTTAAAACGAATCATAATATGGTTTAAGCCAGGCAAAATACGATTCTCATATTTTGATTCGCAACCCAAAGCACAAACGTGTATAATGGACTGCATACGTATACAACATTTCGAACCCCAAATAAAACTCCACGATACGCCACTGATTTTGCCCTCGATTTGATTCAGTTGCTTGACATTGTTGCCGTAGGGCTCATGACTTAAAAATTCAACTATATCTTAACTAAGGGAAGTGCTTTTGGATTTATTTACACAAATTAAATGTTTAAAGTTTAACCTGTGAACTGGTCCCATTTTCATCTGAGTAAACTAAAAAAACTGATGAAAAAATTAATTTTGTGGTTATGGATTTCAAATTTCAAAGGTACTAAATTTTCTAATCATTGCTTAAGCTAATAGCTGGATCAGTAAATAAATACAGAAGGGTATTAGAGCTTTAAGGGCATAAAACGTTTGTATTTATTGAGTTTTTATTTATTTTTTGCAAGAAAATTTTTTAGTAACAATTTTTTACATCTGGCAACGCATAGCTACTTTGTTGGTTGGTATCTATGTACTCACAAAATACAGGTGTGCAGAGATAAACAAGTGTGTAACCAGTGGCAAAAAACTTCTAATGCATATTTTTTCTTTATCTTTGGAAAAATGTTTTTTTAAATATTTTTCCTTTATTCCTTATGTCAAAAGGTATTCAGTATTTTAATATATAACATTAATTTCATAACACCCTGTATATTTTAAAGTTTTCAAAAATGAATTTATGTTTTTAAGTTTTGTATTTTGGGTTAGGATTGCTTTGATATTTTTTTGGTTTTGTTTTTTTTAGTTTATTAAGTATATTTTAAAAAAAGCAAAAACCTAAAAAGCTTTAACTTTAAAATAACACAAATACTTGGAAACAATATTAAAAACAACTTATTCACTGTTTTTTTTAATTAAAAAGATGCATACTATAAAATATATAAAATAATCATTTAACTTTTTTTTATGGCCTTTTCTCACTTTTCATCCAAAACATCTAAATAATAGACAAAAAATGCAACAATAAACTGTCCCATCAAAACAATGTTAACAATTAACAATTAAAAGATATCAATTTTTTTAACTGTTAAAATTTATTTTGCTAAAGGTCATAATGTGATTTGATTTAAAGAGAAAATTAATGATTAATTGTTGGTGAAGCCGCAGAGACCTGAATTGTTGTTTACGGATTTTGTTTTGTTTTGTTAAATTTCAAGCTTAATAAGTTTAGTTGCGATAAAAACTAAAATTATTCATAATTTTTTTTTATATCTATCTATCTTGCCAAAGTGTGAAACAACCAATTAATAATATCAATAAAATTGAATTTAAACGTTGAGAACCAAATGATGTAAATAATAAATAAATCAATTTGCATTATGTTTACACAAATAATACTTTAAATTAATTAGACTGCACTAAACAAAATTATTGGTGAAACAAATTGGCGTGGGGACACAATAACAATAACAACAACAGTAATAATAATAATAATAATTTTACGATCGACAGTGGTAGAAGTTTTCGCATGATGCAGCGAAATCCACTCAATTTGCACATCAAGCAACATTGTATTTAATTACTTTTCTATTTACCAAACGGCTTCTTAACGTTTGACGAAGTCATGCGACAAAAAAATCGCGCCAGTAATTTGCGTTTATCTTTAGCCGGCAATCAAGACGTTTTTTTCATTGAACGAAATGTTCCCTAAGTGTGTGTAGAAAAAAAAGCTATACTCCACTATCAAAATATTAAAATAAAAATTATGCAAATAATTTATGCACATAGAAAAAACGTTAAAACAATCAAAAAAATGGACAATAAATACAACCAATTTTATTAAAAAACATAATATAATTTTAAAATTTTTGTAAATTTTAAAGTTATAAATTTGTCCTACCATTTTTAAATGTATCCCACTGTGCGATTTTTTTTATTTTAAGCCATTGTGCAAATTTCCCCTACAATTTTTTAAATGTACGCTACTGTGTTTAAATGTATGCATGTAAGGGTATTTTTACATAAATCATTAAAATATTTAAAACCTATTTTTAATATCTTGCGATAGGGTAAACCACATACATAGTTATTGTACACTTAAGGAATATTATTTATTTAAAATTTATATATGCCGTTGTTTTAATGATTTTAGTTTTTTTCTTCTAAATATATAAAAAGGATGGTTTGTTTGTTTAAACTTTATTTACGTTTACTTAAAAATAAGAATATTTGAATTTTTAATAATAGTTTTATAAAAACATTCAAAACCATAGTTATTGGACATATATTTTTATATAAATATAATAATTTTACATCAAATCGTTTTTGTAAATATCATATAATTCATATTTTTCTTTCTCGGATTCCTCATCCCTTTTCTGGATTCTGAAGGTAACTATTAATTCCTTGGTCTGACTTCTGAAATAGTTTGTTGCAAATATAAGTGTGGTATCTCTAGTTTGTGAAGCATTTATAATATTTAGGCCGGAACAGGATGATTTATATATATCCAATATTTTTTCGGGTGGTATGTTAAAAGTATTTTCCGAATTTATTAATTTTGTTGCCATTAGTTTTTTATGTTCTCTATCATGCACTGTATTTAAATCACTGTTATTCTGCAAGATGTCCTGTGACGAAGAAATCACTATATTACTTACTCTCTAAAAATGAATTGGTCAAAAATGTCATAGCGAATAATAATTCTCGTCAACAGCAATTTGCATCCAGGACATTTAGCAGTCAATTCCTATGAAATATTATTCGCTGAATCCGAAAATGTAGTCAAAAGTTATAAAAGTAGAACAGTTATTGAAATATAATGAATTTTACATATAATATGGAATTGACTATATCTCAAAAACTGCTTAACTTTTATAGTTTTTGACGGTCTTTTCGGATACAGGGGACAATTTTACATAAGAAATTGGCTCGTTGATGTCCGGGGTACAAATAGAGTATGATATTGGACATAATATGTCCAATAACAGAAATTTACATTTTTTACCAACCAGTAATTGGACACTGGCAATTTTACTGTTTGTTTTCAGAATTAAAATTAAAACGCATTAAAGTGACAATGTTTAAACCATGAGGAACACATTTATACCACTCACTGATTAGTACACTTTTTAGAAATATTTTTTATTGTAATTTAAACACAGCCCTGCTCTTCACAAAAAACAAAAATCTTACCCTACAGCTATTGACTGCATCCAAGGGTAGAAATGGGAAATATCACACTTTGTATATCAAAAACAAAGCATAATGGACACATTTTGGTGAAAAAATGTTGCGTACTTTTAATAAAATACGCTTCTTAAAACACCCTGTATTGTGTACGTCGAGAGGTTGCTAAACCCTGTAGTCTTTAAACTTTAATAACACAAAAACTGCTGCTCGCATAAACCATAAATTAATTTCTAATTGCTCACAATTAAGACGTTAAACTATATAATACGTAACGATAAATAAGTCGGGACAGGTCGTTTTTGCTGAAATCCCATTAATTACAAAGTAATTAGTTTGCTTACCTTTTAGCTGCGTAGATTCGATGGCGAACATGTTAAGGGCAAGAAGCATCAGCAGTCTGTTTGAAGGCATTGGGACGGGGGTGTGATGCAAGAGGGCCCGCAGTTCTTTAAGCATTTGTATGGCCGACTCCTGGAACGTTTCCATTCTAAAAACAAATATAAACAACAGTTATTATTAGGTTAGTAATATTTTTATTGCCAGTTAATATTTAGTGGGTTTAAAGTTTATTAGACATTTTTAAAACAAATAAAACTCTTAGCTTCATTTTTTTATTATTTAAACCTCTGTACTTTAATTCAAAAAGAAATCAATTTCTCAACCAAACATCTGCACGCTGCATTCTATTCTGATGACGAAAGGTAAAACATTCGCCGGACGAACTCTACGTACAGTTTATTTTTTTTATCTGGACTCGTGTCAAATTGGCAATAAAATTTATTATTATACTTGTCAATTATAAATAAAAAGATAATTATGCCAAAAATAATAGCAACGAATTCGAATGTAAAAGCCCTTTTGAGGGCAAAACTTCATTTTGATGAAATTATGCCAAATGCCGCAATGGAAGAAAAAGTACATCGCCTTATGGACATTTTTGGAGTAAAAAAGTAACGAATTTGGTTTTATAAATATTACATCACACATTATTTTCACATTATTCACCATTGGGACAACATTTACGTTCACAAAAAATATATAAATTCTTTTCAAAGCGAAGATTATTATCCGCTAGGAACACTTTCTCTTCTGGGCCGTAAAGCAACCTATATTTAACTACTTTTTTATATGATTTTACTCATCCAAGCACCACCAAAGCCAAATTAATTGCATTTTTAACTACGAATTTCGACAACTCAACTTGACAACTGCACAATGTAACCTACAATAATTTATACATAACCACAATTAGATTTATAACTAGCTTAGTTTGTTTTAATCAATGCGACCAACTTGTCAACTGTATTTACCAACCAAAACCCTAAATTTGCAACGTTGCCGCAGTCCAGATTAAAAAAAAATGAACTGTATGTCGAAAAACAGGTTTTTGACATTTTGATGACGAAAGGTACAACATTCACCGGACAGGCTCTAATACTGTATCAGAAAGAACAGCAACAGTAAATGGTTTTCTAATTTTCGTTTTGATGTTTCGCTATGGTCAACAAATCACAGTTAAACATAAATTTAGACTAAGGTAGATTATTTTGAAGACACGCTACATAAGAAACATCATTCAAGTAACAACAAAAAAAGAGTTTTTAGGTGCGGTGGCATTGTCCAGCAAACAATGGGTGGTCAAAAATGGAGATTTGACGGTCGGATTATTCCCGAAATACATTTTTTAAATGCAAAAGAACAAAAACATCGATTAACAAAGATTATACATCAAGTTATGTGGAACTAATTCTACGGATTCGATTATCGAACTCTAATTGTGTAATTTCAAAGATTGTACTATAATAGTAGATAGTTATTAGCGAACGCCATGGAGTATCTTGTATTTTGCTTTCAATTAGGCTATATATTGAATACCTACCGGTGCCATTTACCAAAAATAAAACTATAGAATCCTAACGGCATTGTCTAATATGGGTCATTTTCAAGAAACACACGCTTTCAGGAAAATGAAGATTAAAATTTTTTTTGCTTAAATTGACTTTTCGTTGGATTTTTATAAATGTTTAGAGTTTTATTTACTTACATTTAAGACAGGCAGTGCACTTTTTAATTTTTTTTACGTTTTTTTCAGAAAAATGTGTTTAGCTAGCTTTATATGTCTCCACTGTGTTACCAATTTGAAATCCAAAATTTAATTCAATAAAAAAAGTTGTTATAAAAATAATTTGAAATAAAATGTACTCAGTTCATAAACTTTTGACTCCAATTTTATTTTTTATTAAAAATTGCATGCCTTTTTTAAATATTTATGTTAGTTAAGTTACTTTTTAAAATTACCAAGTGATAGTAAAATCATTTTAAGGATTTTTTTTAACAAAAACTAAAAAAAGTAACGAAATAGACATTGGTATCACAACGGACTGGGGTACACAAAGGACTTAATCAGATAACGTAAAAAAGAAACTATATAGGGTGGTACGATTTTAGAGTAATGCATAAACAAAATCCCTTGTAGTGGTGCTCACTTAAAGAATAACAACTTAGATTTCTAAATTATAGACACCCTTTTTCTTTGACTATAAGCTGGTGTCTTTTAGTACTTGTATATTGCGTGGAATTTTCCCTTGGATGTAATCTATATCATGAGTTGTAATCACAAATAATTTTAAATTGGTTTATCATAAACAACTTTTAATAAAAGCGACGGTAAATATCCACTTTGTTGTCGAAAAATTCTATTGCGTTACCCTAAATTCCATTGCGTTACCATAAGGTAACGTAATGGACTCGGTAACGCAGTGGACAAAGTTTTGTGAAACCATATTTAAAAAATAATAATAAAACATTACAGTCATTAATTACTCTCAATGAGCTTTAGTGCCCTAAAATAAACATAAACATGAAAAATGGTATTTTTTCTTACCTTATTTTTATTACTTTTTTGGAGTAACTTAGCGGACAAACAATTATTACATTCGCGTTACCCGCACCTGTTTCAACCGATATCTTTTTCCTGATTGAATAAATAAATTCAGCTGGGTAATGTGTACGTCCGAACATCATTTGTTAATCACGTGAGTGCCAAAAAAGTTGCCATATATATGTTTTTTTAATATTCTATCGGTAACGCGACGGACGTAACGCAACGCAAAAAAATGTCTGGGACATGAGTCAAATTTTAAAAAGTAGATTAAAATTAATTATTTATATGTAAATTGTTTACTTTATTAACTAAGGATGTTATGGATTGCTATAAAGCAACACAAAGTTCTGGTTATTCAATATTTTAAAAAAACATGCATGTAAGTTTTATAAAACGCTAATTGGACATGCGAAAATGTGTGTTTCACAAGTTTCAAAATTAAAAAAAAATATTCTGAAATAACTAAACAAACATTTTCTGAAAGAGTTTACTGAGGGCTTGTTAGGCTTTCACTTGGTTTTTAAATCAATAAGATCCGATAATTTTTAACAAATTTATTGGAATTCAAACTTACGGACAGCGGAAGGCGGGTGTTTTTTGAAAACGACCCATATTGTAAAATATTGAATTTTAATTGTAGGAAGTGTCGATGGGAGATTTAACTGCGAGAGTGACCCTTTGAATGCATGATAGAATCCAATAAATGAGGAGCATTGTTTGCAATGGAACAAAACAGCAATAGTCGTTGCTGACCCAGAATCCCCCGCGTCCATAAATTCGATCTTAACTTTGGCACAGTCTCAGATTTTCTATGTCGATTAACACTCGTTTTGCGAGCGACTCACTTCAGCTGGGTCAAATGTCGTGTGAGAGAAATATATGTGGGTTAGGCAGGTGCTTAATCTCCACTCATTTTTACCTAAACTGTTTTGTTTACGGCCGAGACGGGTTTTCCGGTTCTTTTCAATGGAAAAACCCATTATTCGGTAACGAAACCGCTTGCCTCATCAAAAGGCAATTCGGCGTTTTTAACTGACAGGCGTGATATTTCGCAGATTATAATTGCCGATCGTTACGAACAATAATAAACCACATTGTGTGAATATTTGCATAAGGAAATCAAATTCTACGAATGTGAAATTGTTGAAATTTGGATCAATCAATTAACTCATTTTTTATAATATCGCAAATTGTATTACATGACCCAAATTGTATTAGAACTGTTTAAATATGTCCCAAAACCATATAATTTTTTTTTGTAAAATAGCTATTTATATTTTTTCGCATGTGCAGGGCAAAATAATCGATCCACACAAATTTTCGATGAATTTCAATGGCAAATAACTTTTTTACACACTCTTTAGAGTGGCAAAACCGTATATTGTTCTAAATTAAGTTTTAATTATCAAGTCACATCTATTCTTAACAGTTTTGTTTTTGGTTAACCTTGATATATTTATTTTTGTGGAAAATATGGATTTTTAAAAAAAACATTGCAATTTCCAATATTTTTTCTGTATGAAGAAATAAGGTTGCTATGGTCCATCCATAGCCTATGGAGGATGACAGTGACAGTTTTGTTGAATCATCCCATACTTGGACATGTCATATACAGCTTTCAAAAGCTATCAAATTGTTTTTTGTAAATTAATGTATCAATTTTGATGCGTCTTCTTACTTTTAAAAATGTCTCCGACTGTTGTTGCCCTTTGTACTTTACTTCTTGTGACGTTTAAAACACTTGCCAAGTAATACTGTGACCGTCCATCCTGGATTAAATTAATGGCTATGGCAACATCAGTCGGAGACATATCCATTTTTTAAAGTAAGAAGACACCTCAAAATTTAAACATTAATTTGCAAAAAACAATTTGATAGCTTTTGGAAGCTGTGTATGACATGTCCAAGTATGGGATGATTCAACAAAACTGTCACTGTCATTCTTCATAGCCTATGGATGGACCATAGCAACCTTAATTCTTCATACAGAAAAATATTGGAAATTGCAATGTTTTTTTTAAAAATCCATATTTTTCACAAAAATAAATATATCGAGGTGAACCAAAAACAAAACTGTTAAGAATAGATGTGACTTGATAAATAAAACTTCTTCATACAGGAAAAATATTGGAAATTGCAATGTTTTTTAAAAAAATCTATATTTTCCACAAAAATAAATATATCAAGGAGAACCAAAAACAAAACTGTTAAGAATAGATGTGACTTGATAAATAAAACTTAATTTAGAACAATATACGGTTTTGCCACTCTACAGAGAGTCTTAAACTTATGGTAAAAAACATCTTTTTGTTTAAACCTGTATATTATAAACGTACGTCAATTTTTTAGTAATTTTTTAAAATGTGAGCGATTGTCCATTAATTTATCTACAATATTCATTAATATTCGTTTAAATCCGACATCAAATAAAAAAGTTATTTGCGATTGAAATTCATCGAAAATTTGTGTGGATCGATTATTTTGCCTGTGAGTGTATATTACATCAATTAAATAACACCCTGTATGTACACTTTCAATTTTTGATAAAAAATGGGGTTGTTGTTAGTGGACACCAAAATTTAAAATTATAATTATAAGATGTGAAATATCTCATCTAATTTTATTCCATAATTGCAAACCACACTTTATATAAATTTTGAACTATACATAATGACCAAAAATTGGCTAAAAACGTCCTAAACTCGTCTCTTAAAATTTTGTTTATAAAATAAAAAATTCATTACTATTTTCTATGACTATACAATGTACAGTAAGAGAAAATAGTAATGATTTTTTTATTTTATAAACATAATTTTAAGAGTACAGTAAACTTTATCTTCCTTAAAAATTACGTTTTGATGCACAAGTAACATTTCCTTAATTAATATATTTTTGTATATAAAACTGTACTCACCCAATTTTGGTGTATAGTTTTCCTAGCACGTGAAGATATGTGGTAACGAATCTTTTATTGAGCTAAAAACAAGAAAAATAATTAGATTCAAAATTTTTACTGGGGTAACATATTATAGATAGATTATAGAAGAACTAATTATCTTACCTCTATGTTTCCCAAGGAGGCAAGATCTTCTTCCTCGGAATCCTTGTTATCCTGGAGAGCTTGCGTGGTTCTGTGAACTCTTTTTCCTCCGTCTGGGCGAATCCAGGTTTCCTTCCTCAAAGAACCAGGCGTTGTTGTCGTTTCTTCCGACTCTTTTTGCTTCATTTGCAACCTCGCACGTTCCAAACGCTCCTCCCTGCGTTTTTTCTCGCCTTGCTCGTACTGCAGAAAAACGACCAAGTTATTACGTCATAATGCACATTTTTGTACAATACAAATACAAAAAATCAAATCATTAATATTCCAAATTTGAAGTGGATTTCGACTCGATTACAATCACCGACGAGATGAGATATTTTTTTTGATCGAACCGATTGACTAACTGTTAAATTAAATTAATTTGTGGGATGTGTAATTCAAGTTTCCATTAGGATTTTATGTGGCATTCTATTATCTTTTTAGACCGATACAATTACTTCAGATCCTGCTGCTGCATAGTTTTATTTTATTGCGCAAACCAGCATCAATTGAGATTTAATAGCTTTTTAAGGTTTCTAGAATGAAAAATACAACTCAATGGTAAACAGTATTTTTTATAATAAGAATATTAAAGTTAAATTTTAACTATGATCAGGTAGGGCACATGATGTATTGCTTTTAATAAAACAATATCTAAACATTAATATCACAACACAATTTTCTACAATCATGCTTCATACGAGAGAGAGAGCGCCAGTGGTACTTAAACTGTGAGAAAATATTTTCTTGTATTAGGGTTTTTGTGTGTTATCATAGTAAAAGTCGCATAAAGAATAGGACAACATATGTTTGTAAAAACGTCACAGAACGTGCACGAACTAAACAGTCAGGTTAGCGGCAAAAAAATGAATTGTTGGGAGTCCCGATTTTTTGCCCTTTTGCCGCGGCCGCTAACTGTAAAACGACCTTTATGCGACGTATGTGTCCAGTGACGCTCTCTGCTAAATCACATTACAAATAAAAACTATATACGTACGCATATTTGATGGAGGTACTGATAGTGCGTCGAGAATGAAAATGCAGCGTTAAAAACAGAACGAACATTTTTTGTTTTTTAAATATTATTTTTTTTTTTTTTTTAATACACTTTATTAAAAAGCTTTTGAAAAATCGTACTAAAAATTAAAAAAAATCAATTTTTGTTAATTTTTTTAATAAACATTATCGATTTTTTAACGAATAGAAGGATAGTTGGTGCACCCTGTATTCAGAGAAATGTTGGAAAAAACTTGTCAGTTATTTATTTAACATTTAAAAAAACTTTTATAAAATGATTGATTAATTTACCACATATTTCAATTTTTTCTTTAAAAATGGCCGAAACTTTTGTAATTGTATAATAAAATGTTGATGTTTACCAAATGCAATATCAATTTTAACAGTCTCTGTAGGGAAATTTAAGTTCTTTAAAATGTGTTTTTTTTTAATGACAAAATATAATTATTTTTATCTATTTTGCTTCATAATGACTTCATTATAACACCGCTTTCGGTGCTTTAATGAGATACTTTATCCCACCCAAAATTTTTATTTTAAACAGCATAATGTTTTGCATATTGGTTATAATATTTTTATGATTTTTCTAGAACTTAGAAGACTTTTCTGGCAATAAATTTTGTTTAACACCAAAGAAAATCCTTTTTTTCTTCTTTAACATTAACAGCCTTATTGTAAATAAGTAAATTAAGGACGGCATGGCTAATCGATTTTGACATTAACTGTCTAGAGTAAAATTCGACCAAATTAAATTTAAGGTTAAGTTCATTTTTTTTATCTGGACTGCGGCAACGTTGCAAATTTAGGGTTTTGGTTGGTAAATAAAGTTGTCAAGTTGGTCGCATTGATTAAAACAAACTAAGCTGGTTATAAATCTAATTGTGGTTATGTATAAATTATTGTAGGTTACATTGTGCAGTTGTCAAGTTGAGTTGCCGAAATTTGTAGTTAAAAATGCAATTAATTTGGCTTTGGTGGTGCTTGGATGAGTAAAATCATATAAAAAAAAGTAGTTAAATATAGGTTGCTTTACGGCCCAGAAGAGAAAGCGGATAATAATCTTCGCTTTGAAAAGAATTTATATAAAAGAAAATAAAATTTTTTGTAAACGTAAATGTTGTCCAATGGTGAATAATGTGAAAATAATGTGTGATGTAATATTTATAAAACCAAATTCGTTACTTTTTTACTCCAAAAATGTCCATAAGGCGATGTACTTTTTCTTCCATTGTGGCATTTGGCATAATTTCATCAAAATGAAGTTCTGCCCTCAAAAGGGCTTTTACATTCGAATTCGTTGCTATTATTTTTGGCATAATTATCTTTTTATTTATTATTAAAAAGTAAATTATTAATAATAAATATTATTGTCAATTTGACAGTGTCAAAGTATTTAATTAAATTCTTTAGCAGAAGTACCATTTTTAAATACTAAAAATACCAAGTCAAACTGGCATAAGCCACCAACCTAACAAATAAACACAAGTCCAGATAAAAAAAATGAACTTTGGAATGGAAAATACTAATAAACAAAAGATTAAATGTAATATTTTTTACAACATAAATTTATGGTTTTGGTGTATGAATTTGGTGAATTTTAAATTCTGAAACTGTTTAATTTTTCAACCTTCAAAACACAGAAATTAAAACCATAAAAAACTAAGATTCGTTAAAACCAAAACAGATCTAATGGTTGGTTTAGATGAGATAACTAAACGTTAACATTTATTCGCAATTATTTTTAGAGCTTACCTTTTTCCTAATTTCGTAAAACAACGAAACCATGCTCTGTCTAGCTGACGGAGCCGGGTTTGAAGACATCAGACTTCTCATGAAATAATAGACCGCATCCAACCTTCTTCTCTAAAATAAACAACGCGATAAAATGATCGTTTTTAAGTTTACTGGGGTGGATAACTTACGGAGTACACTGCCAACAGTGCCAGCTGATTGTAAGGTTTCCCATTTTTCGGGTTTAACTCGTGCGATTTTAAGTACCACCTAAAATATGTTTAGTAGACTGGGCCAAAAAAATCGACTATTTTTTTTGTTGTAAAGTATATCGAAAATATTGTTTGGGGTGACAAAAAAAAATATTGTGAAGTTTGAGTCCATAATATTAATATTAAGGTCTATCATCGCAATTTTAGTTTTTGTCTCAGAAATTCCAAATCATTAAGTTTAACAAAAATTGGTATAGTTTTACAATTTGATCTTTTAACTTTGGAATTTTGTAATTCATGTAAAAATCAGTACCCGGAAAAAACCGATAGATATTCTTATGGAAAATCAAAGGCTCTACGAAAAAAATATTTTAACATTTTCGGCTAAATTCACCCAATCAAAAGTTTTTCAAGGTTAAAGTTGAAGTCAAAACGAAATTCTTGTTTTTTTCCGCTGTAGATTTTTTTTGGGTCAGTTAAAACTTGAATTCTTTTATCGATGATAATCTTTATGTTATTGATAAAATTACTAAAAATTATAACACATTCGAATTTTTTCGCTTTAAGAAGCTATTTTCTCTACGACTACTTAAGAATAGTAACATTCTAGTGTAATTTTTGGTCATAGAAAGGATTTTTTTCTGCAATACTGTGCGATAATATTCCCACTCTTGTTTAAGAATGGTCACAAGTAACGACATCTCCTGGCTGTTTACTAAACGTAAAAAGGTTTAAAAATATTTAAATAATACTGTATTATTTATTAATTAAAAAATAATAGCAGTTGTATAATTAAGGTTTAGGCACAAACAATTAGTTATATTTATTGTTTTTCAAATATACAAATCAAAATTATAATAAATTTGATATTAAAATGATAAATCACTATACCGGCTTTGAAGTTTTGACAGATTCAAAAAGTTTAATAAAGACCTTTAAAATGTAGAAAAAGAATAGATGTTGACATAGATTACTTGTAAAATTAGTTTTGTATTTGTTACAATGATATTTTTTTTATTAGTTAGTGTAAATAACTATTTTTAATTATAATAAAGATTTAGGCATACCATTTGTTTAAATTTATTATAATTAACATTATAAAATTGTGACGGCACAAAATGGTTTGACAATACAAAAAACTTAAATGTCAAAAACTGCTTGGTTTCTTTTCTCTGTTTAAAATTATATAAGCGTTAATATTCTTACGTAGTCGTAGAGAAAATAATGTCTGAAACACGTTTGGAATAGCATATTCCACTCTCGTAAAACCGTCACACTCGCCTTCGGCTCGTGTGTCAAATTTTTCCTCGAGTGGAATATGCTGTATTCCAAACTTGTTACAGAATGTACTATTCTCTAGAAAATATCATTTATACTGTTATTTAATTGTTTAAATAATAACAATCATGTTGTTTTTTATTGGAAATTGTTAATTAGTTATATATATATATATATATGATATCATACAAATTTATAAAGAAAAAAATCAAATTATCATCCATAAAAAACAAATCTACAGAGGAAAAAACAAGAATTTCGTTTTGACTTCAACTTTAACCTTGAATAACTTTTGATTGAGTGAATTTAGCCAAAAATGTTAAGAGACTTTTTTTGTAGAGCATTTGATTTCCCATAAGAATATGTATCGGTTTTTTTCCGTGTACTGATTTTTACATGAATTACAAAATTCCAAAGTTAAAAGATCAAAATGTAAAACTATACCAATTTTTAATGCATGATTTTAAGGAAAGGGTTCATCTGACGGAAAATTTCATTTAGACCTTTTTTGTAGAGCATTCAATTTCCTTAAGTTCTGAGACAAAAACTTTTTTGTCACCCCAAAAAATATGTTCTGTTTGATTAATTTTAAAAAATGTTTCTTACTGTCTGCACTTTCCATAGTTGGCCGTTTCGTTGACTTGCTCCCTATATCTTCCCAAGTCGCCCAAAAAAATAAAAATCTTCTGGGCAGAGTTCAAAGCTAAGCCGACATAACCGAGACCTTTCTTTTGCTCGCAATTATTGCTGCCCAAAAAACTACTCAGTTGGAACTTGTTGTTCTCCTGCAAATCTTCAAGCAGCTCTTCAAAGAACTTATTCCCTTCGTCGATCAAAAACAGTATGAAGACTTTGTATTCGTCTTTCTGGCTGGGATCTTCCGCGATGGCCTTTCTGGCGACCTCGATGATGCTGTAGTACAAAATCTTCCAAAGGTGTTGCTCCACGTTCTCGGTCTCGCAAAACTTCAAGTCCTTGTACAGAAGATACTTCAAGGCGTCTTTGAGAAACTGCCTCAACTTTTCGACGCTCTCCCAGCTGTTCAGAACCATGTTGGTAGCGATAATGTATTGCAACTCCACGTCGGCTTTTTTTATGTCCCTTATGACGTCGGGAAAGTGGCAGGACTTGAATTCGGGCGAGTTTTCCTCGTACCAACTCGGTCGGGTGTCTTCGGCGCCCTGACTCTGATTCGGGTCGTTGCTCTCGGGAATCCCCGGCACTGAGACGCGCGTGCTTTGCGAACGCACTATTATCGGTTTGTTCGGGTTGTTTGGGTCGAACAGGCTTTTTTGTTGGGGCGAGTTTTTTCTAGTATCCGGGTATCTCGGTTGTTCGGCCTGACAATTAAGGAATTTTGAATTACCCTTTGAAATATTAATAAGAAAGACAACTTTTAAAGTTAACTGTTAGGATAAAATACAAAATAGATCTGCAAATAAATAATCAACTTTTATTTAGGACTTTTTTTGCAGAATTTTAGGAAAAATAAAGTATGCAAATGAATTTATGTAATTAAATAAAAACAACTCAACACTACTTAAAAAATAAGAAAAAAAATAATTATTTTTAACAAAAATGTACAAATAAGTTACATTGACCAAATCGCTCGACGAGTTTTTTTTAAATAAAATTAAAAGTGAGGTAAAAAAGTAGAAATTTCAACCCCCTTTTAATTTTTTTAACAAAAAAAAAACGCGTCGATAGATAAAATACAAAAAAAAACAAAATAGATCTGCAAATAAATAATCAACTTTCATTTAGGACTTTTTTTGCAGAATTTTAGGAAAAATAAAGTATGCAAATGAATTTATGTAATTAAATAAAAACAACTCAACACTGTACTTAAAAAATAAAAAAAAATATTTTTAACAAAAATGTACAAATAGGTTACATTGACCAAATCGCTCTACGAGTTTTTTTTTAATAAAATTAAAAGTGAGGTAAAAAAGTAGAAATTTTACCACACTTTTAATTTTATTAAAAAAAACGCGTCGATAGATAAAATACAAAAAAAACAAAATTGATCTGCAAATAAATAATCAACTTTTATTTAGGAATTTAGGAGGTTTTTTGCAGAATTTTAGGAGATATAAAGTATACAAATGAATTTATGTAATCAAATAAAAACAACTCAACAATGTACTTAAAAAATAAAAAAATACAAAAAAATACAAAAAAATTTACAAATAGGTTACATTGACAAATCGCTCGACGAGTTTTTTTTAATAAAATTAAAAGTGAGGTAAAAAAGTATAAATTTCACCACACTTTTAATTTAATTTAAAAAAAAACGCGTCGATAGATATGGCAAAAAAACTAGGCCAAAGTCAAATGATGTTATATTTATACTTTGAGAAAAAAAAATGTTAAGCGTTTAGTTAATAATTAACAATAATTGAAATGTTGATCTCGTTACTCAAAAATCTCATAATAGAAAAAATATAAAGTTTGCATAATACAGCAAAACATTTTTTTTAGCTATCATTTAAAAGAAAATAAAAAATCTTTTTGTTTGATATATAACGGTATACTTTTGTCGAAAACAATCGAAATATGGCGAAAAATTACAATTTTGTAGAAGTCTAGGAGCTACTACATGGATTTTGTTGTATTTTATGAAAAATATAGGTTGTGATATATCATTTAAAAAAGAATTTAATAAACTGGAACCTAAAAATATATATTTTTTAAATTACTTTTTAAAAAAGAATTTTTTTAGCACAACTACCTTAATTAAACGCAGTCCAGTTGTCCTACTTATATTTAATTTTTAGGAGTTTTAGGAGATTGATGGCAATTTAAGGAGAATTTAAGGAGTTTTCAAGTTTTAAGGTTAAAATACGGCCAAGTCTGATAGACTTTTGTACCTATTCTTAAAGAAATTTCAATAGGGTAAAAAAAGTGATATTTTATTTAATTTTGTTATGATTTCAGGAATTATATTATACAGGGTGTTATGTAATTAATGTAATATATTAAAATGGGTAGCTCCTTAGGGTCCATAAAGAAGCACCTAAAACTTTTTTTTCTAAATTCTAAAAATAATTTTTAATAACCTTTATCCTACCAAAAAGTACGCCACTGATCAACTAGGAACTTTAGGCTAATCTGGTTGCCTAATTTAATTTATTATGTTATGGTTGGTAACAACCAGCGTTTTCAGATTCTGTCAAAAAAGTTGCCAAATTTTGTTTAAATTTAGCTTAATTAAAAAAATGACAAAATTAAAAATGCAAATTGTTAATTTGGGGTTTTTATTTATTGTTTATTATATCATTTTTGTAATGAAGATAAATTCAAACAAAATATGGCAACTTTTATGGCAGAATCCAGTGCATTTCTTTCAAATTTTAGGTTATGTGCTCAAATTGTAAATATCTTAACTAAGGAAAGTGCTTTTGGATTTATTTACACAATAGAGTTTTAAGGGCATAACACTTTTGTATTTATTGAGTTTTTATTTATTTTTTGCAAGAAAAATTTGTAGTAACAATTTTTTGTTGGTTGGTATCTATGAACTCACAGAACACAAGTGTGTCAAACGGTATTCAGTATTTTAATATATTACATTAATTATTGAAATAAAGTTATTATTATTAGTATTAATATAATAGAGAGAAAAAATGGAGAACTTTTTACTTACCAATTTGGGTGGTTCGGGCTTCTGCTGCGGCAAAACAATAACGCCAGCCTTCTTGACATCCAACTTAACCTCCTCTCGTTCCGAGTTACTTCTACTTCTATCTCCTATCTTTGTCTCCGAATTCTGCCTGCTCCTGATTTCGGCGCGCCAATTTTCGCCACTTTGCTGCGGTTGCTCGCCTCGACCTCTGAAACCTTCGTGGCTCGAATCGCGTCTATCGCGAGAACCTGCAATTTCGTTGTATTATAGGTATTGCATTTTTTAAACCGCTGTTTTCGTTGTCACCTCTGCGATGTCTGGAGGTTCTGGGCGCTCCTTCCGCCACTTTAAAGTTGTTGTCAACGCTGCTTATCGAGTCGCGACGTTGGTGTCTAAAGGAAGACGAACGAGAGCCACTTCCGTCTCTTGGACGACTGTCATTCCTATACAAAAAGGTTCAGGCTGATGTTTATTGGGTTTTACATAACATCAGGCTTTTTTGGCACGGAAACGTATGATTTTGACATTCTAAGATGAGTCTTGACATTTTTAATAATGTTTCTAACATTCTAAAAAAAGCTTTAACATTTCTAAATGTTTTTAACATTTTTAAAATATAAATGTATTTTAAATTGGGTCTTCAACAGTCTTACATAAGTTTGGACACTTTAAATGTGTTTTTATCACACTAAAATGAGTTTAAACATTCTTTAAATAACATTCCAAAAACTGTTTGACATTCCAAACTTTTTAAAGATTGTTAAGTGTTTTTTTTACATTTTAGAAGCATAAAGATATTATACCTTTAACAATATACAATGTGTATTTAACATTATAAAATATATTTTTACCCACAGATTTTAAATTGGGTTTTAACGTTCAACAAGTTTTTTGGACATTTTAAGATGGTTTTGACATTTCTTAACATTCTAAAATTTGTTTTGGATTGGTTTTGACATTTCTTAACACTCTATACTTTAGAATCTAAAGTGAATTTTGACGTTTTGACCATTTTTAAATTTTTTAAGATTTAACAATCTAAAAATGTCTTAAAGATTATAAAATGTATTTTAACTCAAGATTTTAAATTGCTTTATGACTTTTAAAATATGTACATTCTTTAATAACTTTCCAAAAACTGTTTTTTATATTTTAAAAGTATAAACGTGCTATGCCGTTAACAATATAAAATGTGTATTTAACATTCTAAAATGTATTTTATATATTTTGCGTTCATAATAACTTCATTATAACACCGCTTTCGGTGCTGAAATGAGATACTTTATCGCACCCAAAATTTTGATTTTATAGGTTGGCTATACTTTAAACAGCATATTGGTTATAATATTTTTATGATTTTTCTAGTACGTAGGAGACTTAATAAGGTAATAAATTTTGGTTTAACACCAAAGAAAATTTTTTTCTTTAACATTAACAGCCGCTTATTGTAAATAAGTAAATTAAGGATGCCATGGCGAATCGATTTTGACATTAACTGTCAAACCAATGACTGTAATACCAACTATCTAAAGTAAAATTCGACCAAATTAAATTTAAGGTATAATAGTATATTAAAGTACAAGTTGCAGAAGGCCACATATTCTCGCACGAATTCGAAATTTGGCCTCGAGCGACGAAGGAGCGAGTGGACGAACGAATGAGTGCGAGAATAGCCTTCTGCAACGTGTGATTTATACTATTTTCTCGATTTTAACTTTTATTTAGGTTTTTTTAATTGTTTTGTGGTCGTTGTTAGTTGGGGGATTTTTCTCGCAAAATGTCAGTTGGCAACACAAAATGACAATATTTGTTATCTTGGACACTTTTTCACATTAAACTTAATATTTTGCATTAAAATGCATTGTTGGAGCAAACTTAATATTACAAAACAATAATAAAGGCTTCATTTTCAATAAAAGTGTAGTTCAGGTTGCACTAGTGCAGGATAACAAGCAAAGCTATTATAAATAATCCTAAAAGTAATGAATTTGAGGTTATTAAACAGTTTGACATTTTGGGGGTACCAATACTTAAAAACAAAATGTTACCAAAAATCGTTTAAGAATGAGCTTCATTCTTCAACGATTTTGCGTGCGAGAATATGACATTCTTACATAAAAATCGAGAAAATTAATTTTCTCGATTTTTATGTAAGAATGTCATATTCTCGCACGCAAAATCGTTGAAGAATGAAGCTCATTCTTAAACGATTTTTGGTAACATTTTGTTTTTAAGTATTGGTACCCCCAAAATGTCAAACTGTTTAATAACCTCAAATTCATTACTTTTAGGATTATTTATAATAGCTTTGCTTGTTATCCTGCACTAGTGCAACCTGAACTACACTTTTATTGAAAATGAAGCCTTTATTATTGTTTTGTAATATTAAGTTTGCTCCAACAATGCATTTTAATGCAAAATATTAAGTTTAATGTGAAAAAGTGTCCAAGATAACAAATATTGTCATTTTGTGTTGCCAACTGACATTTTGCGAGAAAAATCCCCCAACTAACAACGACCACAAAACAATTAAAAAAACCTAAATAAAAGTTAAAATCGAGAAAATAGTATAAATCACACGTTGCAGAAGGCTATTCTCGCACTCATTCGTTCGTCCACTCGCTCCTTCGTCGCTCGAGGCCAAATTTCGAATTCGTGCGAGAATATGTGGCCTTCTGCAACTTGTACTTTAATATACTATTTTTTATAGAATTTTTGGAAAATAGATAAAATGTCATAAAGAACTCATGTCATAAGACCTTTTGTCGCACTTGTCCATTACAAAATTGTCCGCGTGTGACAAAATGACGTCTTATGACATTAGTTCTTTAATATACTATTAACTCAAAGATTTTAGATTTTGTTTTTATCATTCTTAAATAAGTTTGGACATTTTAAATATCTTTTTAAATGTTCTTAACATTCTAAAATTTGTTTTGAGAGTCTTTAATTAGATTTTCAGATTCTAAAGTTTTGTCTTTTTAATTAAGGTAATATCTCAATTTGAATCTCTTCAAAATTTAATATATGATTTTATGAGGCATCCAACCCATTAACAAATAATTTCAGATTTTTTTTAACAAAGATTCAAAAAAAAATATGTTTTAGAGTAATATTAGTTTTTATCCGCCATTTTTTTGTTTTGGATTTCAGTAGCTTTCTCATGAGATTTACACAAACAAAAAACTATAATAATACAATTTTTTTAAGCTATCAACATAATCCTATTTTTTTTCTTGAGTTTGGAGACGTATTTTTAAAATAATCTATGATAAATCTGTGGGAAATATCACTTCTGCACAGGTGTTAGATATTGATTATTACAGTATATGTTTTAAAGAAATATCAAGAAACAATTTTTTAGCACTTTTTAAAATTGTCATTTTAAATTTTGGACTGCCAACTTAAGAAAAAAAGTTTTGAAACCTTAATTTTGCAATTATGACAACAAATTAACAATTTAAACTGTTACTTATTTACTTGTTGTTTCTAGTTTTTAATGATATTTTAAATTGTAATAACACCGCTGAATTTGCTGGCACAGCCTACTGTTATTAATTTATAAAAGTCCAAATAAAATAAGATAAAAAAAATATTTTACCTTTGTTTGCTTTTCCTCCTATCCTTCCTCTTTTTTCTACCGGAATGTGGCGCGTCAATATTCGGAGGCATGGATTTAGCACTGGCGTCCACCAGGCTTGATATGGACGAACTCCTTGTAAGAACGTCGCTTAGAGCCTCTTGCTCCAAGCGATCGTTTAATTCCACTTCTTCACTCCAATCCTAAAAATACAAAAAAGTTTCTAATATTTTGTGCACTAGGGTGGGCCAAAAAAACTTTTAATTTTTTTTTCTTTAGTTACCATGACCAAGATGACGAAAAAAAAATTCTGATAAAGTTTGAGCTCTTAATATTAATATTAAGAGGTGGCTCATCGCGATTTTTTATTTTCCATTTACAAATTCAAACCAATAATTTTGAAGAATAAAATATTAAAATTCCATTTTTTAAAAATAAAAATTTTTAAACTTAAACTTTTACAGTTGCATTATATTTAAATTTTTTTTTGATTTTCAATAGTTTTGAGTTTACAAAAATTTAACTTTTTAAACTATTTTGGTAGAAAATGTTTTATATGTGTTTTTATTTTAAATGGCTTTTTTTAAATACTAAAAAAATTAACTTTACAAAATTAATCTCAATAATTTTATAAAATAGTTATTTAAGTTAACAAAATGCCACCCAAATAAATTATACTTGGGAAATTATTTTTATTAAAAAATGATGGCTAGAAATTTTTGCAAAAATTGATAGAAAATAATATTGTTTAATACAGAAGTGAACAGTTGGTTAGTAAATTTTATCTTTCAATGCATGATAGTTGAATATATTATAAATTTATAAATGTAAACCTAAAATTTTTAGTTAGGAAAATTTTAAACCAATAAAATTTTAAATTAAAAAATTATTTAATAAATGTTAAAACGGCGTACCATACATTAAATATAGAAAAAAACCGTTTTTTTCACGATTATTGATATTTCATAAAAATTGTATTGTTTTACCGAAGAACACTCGATAAACTTCACGAAAAATATGATATTTCATGTTTTTGAGACAATATTTCGTGATAGCGTACGAAAAACTATAAAAGTCATCATTTACTATTTGAAGTTGAACTTTAACCTCAAATAACTTTTAAAAGAGTCGACTATGCAAAAAATCATGTCAGATCTTTTTTGCAGATCGTTCAATTCCCTACAAGAATATGTATTGATTTCTACAACTCACTGATTCGTTAAAACGCAATAAAATTACAAACAAAAAAATGTATTTTTCCCTTGTACTTTATCAGAATGTTTTTTTCGTCATCTTGGACGATATTTTTTTGGTAGCTAAAGAAAAGAAGATTAAAGGTTTTGTTGTGCACCCTGTATTATATTAAAATTCTTGCCTAGTATGATGCAATAAGTGACTCACAAATCAAATATCTCAAGTTTAATTTAATTTATTATCGCAATATTTACAAAACAAACAATACATTAAAACTGCGTTACTCACCAAAGTGCTCATGGGATTGACGAAGGGAATATAAGTCGTCTTCAGCTCATCTGAAGATTCCGGACTGACAGGAGATAGCTGCGCATTCAAGCTATCGTTGAATTTAGCTTTTGTCTCGGGATTTTCGTTGACTTTTGTTGTGGATTCGTAATTCCTATTGTCGTTTCTGTAGGAATTGCTGGAGAAATCCCCCCTGCTGCATTCGTCCTTGTTCGGCCGATTGTTGTAGTCCCTCCTTTCCTGAGTCGGTTTACGATTTCTGTCGTAGTTAGTTCTGGCTCCCGGCTCTCTACGATCGCCTCTATCTCTGTCTCTCTTGTGTTGCCGGCGGTTGTCTTGGTTTCTACGATTATCGTAGTCCCATTTGTTGGTGTTAGTATCCCTATCCTCGGAGGGTCTATGTTGACGGTCCACTTTCAATCTATCGGAGATGTTGGTGTTTTTACGCTGTCTGTCGTCGTAGTTGTAGTTGTTGTAGCGATAATCGTCGTTTTTGCTGGGGTAGTTGACTGGGGTGTGGGGTCTGCTCAGCGGCGGGGTGGGGGGGCGCGAGTTGCAGGGACTGCGGCCGATCTCCGGCGTCATGGACCTGTAGGAATCCCCCGGCATGTGACTGAAATCTTGCAGCCGTCCCCTGCCTCTCGCCCTGTTCGGGAGGGTGTGGTAGCCCGCGTGCGGCATCTGCTGGTGCATCTGGTGGTGGTAGCTGCCCATCGGATGGTAGCTGGGGTTTTTCAGGTAGTTCGTGGGGGGATTCGACGTGCCCTGAAAGGTGACGCTCGAACCGTCCCAGTTCTCCTCCAACGGCGGCGGCTGGTTGATTTGCTTGCCCTCCAGGAGGAGTTTCTTCTGAAACCTGGGCGCCAAGTTGTTGATGTTGAGGTTCGTTTTCGGACGCTTGTCTTGCTCCAAGCCTATGGTGCTGTGGCGTCTACCGCTCGGAGGTTTCGCCTGCATTTTTTCGCTGTAATTTCTACCCGGGGGAGGGCAAGGATCTACACTTCTGGTGTCCCTCTGTCGCTGCCATTGGGAGCCGTTGGCCATACCTTGGCAGAAAAATTAAATAGTTTTTTTCCATATACACTTACGTGCAAAATAATCGATCCACAAAAATTTTCGATGAATTTCAATCGCAAATAACTTTTTTATTTGATGTCGGATTTAAACGAATATTAAAGAATATTGTAGATAAATTAATGGACAATCGCTCACATTTTAAAAAAATACTAAAAAATAGACGTACGTTTATAATATACAGGTTTAAACAAAAATATGTTTTTTACCATAAGTTTAAGACACTCTGCAGAGTGGCAAAACCGTATGTTGTAAATTAAGTTTTATTAATCAAGTCACATCTATTCTTAACAGTTTTGTTTTTGGTTCACCTCGATATATTTATTTTTGTGGAAAATATAAATTTTTTTTAAAAACATTGCAATTTCCAATATTTTTCTGTATGAAGAACTAAGATTGCTATGGTCCATCCATAGCCTATGGAGAATGACAGTGACAGTTTTGTTGAATCATCCCATACTTGGACATGTCATATACAGCTTTTAAAAGCTATCAAATTGTTTTTTGTAAATTAATGTGTTAATTTTGAGGTGTCTTCATACTTTTAAAAATGTCTCCGACTGATGTTGCCCTTTGTACTTTACTTCTTATGACGTTTAAAACACTTGCCACGTAATACTGTGACCGTCTATCCTGGATTAAATTAATAGCTCTGGCAACATCAGTCGGAGACATATCCATTTTATAAAGTAAGAAGACACCTCAAAATTTAAACATTAATTTGCAAAAAACAATTTGATAGCTTTTGAAAGTCGTGTATGACATGTCCAAGTATGGGATGATTCAACAAAACTGTCACTATCATTCTCCATAGCCTATGGATGGACCATACCAACCTTAGATCTTCATACAGAAAAATATTGGAAATTGCAATGTTTTTTAAAAACATCCATATTTTCCACAAAAATAAATATATCGAGGTGAACCAAAAACAAAACTGTTAAGAATAGATGTGACTTGATAAATAAAACTTAATTTAGAACAATATACGGTTTTGCCACTCTTCAGAGTGTCTTAAACTTATGGTAAAAAACATCTTTTTGTTTAAACCTGTATATTATAAACGTACGTCTATTTTTTAGAATTTTTTTAAAATGTGAGCGATTGTCCATTAATTTATCTACAATATTCTTTAATATTCGTTTAAATCCGACATCAAATAAAAAAGTTATTTGCGATTGAAATTTATCGAAAATTTGTGTGGATCGATTATTTTGCACGTGAGTGTATTTTAAAATGTATTTGACATTCTTAATTGTGTTGTCTTGTATAGATCTTGGCATTTGTAAATAAAAAAAAAATGGACATTTTAAAATATGCTTTCTTAAGTGAGTCTTGAAATTTTAAATATGTTTTTAACTTTCTAAAATGTGTTTTGACATTCCTAATTTAAGAATCTTAAATATATTTTTCTACTCCCACCTTTAAAACATACATATTTATATAACAGGGTTCGAAAAAATCATGATTTAAAAAAAAATCAATGATTTTTATTAAAAAATCATGATTTAAAAAAAAATCGATGATTTTTATTAAAAAATCAAAAAAACCAACAAAAACGATTTTTTTGTTTTTTTTTTTAATTATAAACTAAAAATTGAATATATTATATAGGCACTACTTTATAAACAAATAAACCACCGTCCGCAACTGTCATATATTTTTTTGTATATTGCTTTATAATTTTATTTAACAAAATAAGCGGTTTTTCTATGCATATGAATTTATTTAAATACTGTCAAGATATTATTGTGCTTTAGTTTTGGATCTTAGGCACTCGTGCCTAAATTGAATTCGTGACTAAAATGGCGTTTATCAAACTTGATACATAATATACTATTACCTACTTTGACATTGACTAGCTGTAACTTCATGGCGTTTTAGTTACGAGCTGGAGTTTGAAACAGTGGCTTTTAAACTTTTTTTGTTACGTTGAAGTTGGCTTTATTATAAGTTGGGAAAAAGTGAGGTTAAATTCGGGTGACAGTCAAATTTTTAACAAATGAAATTGGACCTAATTTTTATTCGAGAAAACAATTAATTTAATTTTTGTTGGTTTTAATATTAATAAACATTACAATTTATTTCTTGAGGGTGTTGATAAATTTAAAAAAAGTTTAGACAATGTCAACATTTGGGGGTTTATTTGGCAAATTCTTGGGACAATAAATTTTTAATTGGCTACATTAAGTAAAACAAAATTATTTATTAGATTTATACAGCAAGAATTAATTATATTATCAAAATGATTATGCTTATCTTTGGCATTGTTAATTATAATAATCATATTTGTCAAATTCCGAATACAAAAAAAACAAAATAAAATAATAGTAAAAAAAATTTTGACATATTATGTCAACATTTTTTTTTCAAATTTTTAGTAAATATTACGAATATAAAGCCTCATTGGCAAGATGTGGCTTTATTGCGCTTTAGTTACGGACTGAAGTTAGCAATAGGTTTTTAGTCACGGGCTGAAGTTAGTTTTAAGTTAGTGGACAGTTGTCAAATGTCATACAACCGTCAAAATAAAGCGACTTGATTTTTAGGAAGTGAGGTTAGAACCGTCTGACAGATGTCAGATTTTATTTATTTATGAGATACATAAGTGACATTTTGACTCCCGGTATAGAAAATATACCGGTATTTGTAGATAAAGTTTCTCGTTTTGTCCTTTTATAGAGAAAAAAAGAATTTATATAAATTATATTTGAAGGTTATATAACCCATATGTCGCCTTTGAAACTATTAAAAGGCGTATCTCGTTTTTTGTGCCAAGCAAAAATATGTTAACCTTTATTATTTAATATTGTAGTTATCAACAAACACGAGATAATACTTGTGATTGGTTAAAAGGGCAGATAAGGCCCAGGCCAATTTACTCTTAAAGGAGAAGCTTATGGCACTCCCAAATGAGTAAATGAAAATACAGAGATTTTTTTAAATAACCTAACTTTTGTCTTAGTTAAAAAATTAAGTATGGTAATATGTAATATGCTTTATAACTTCTCTATAGACACTTGTTTAGTACATTTGCTATGCAAGTTATGCTAATGCCTTATTGAAACTTCTGTGCATTTTAGTTATGAGCTGAAATTAGCAACTTGGCAATAATGGGCTTATTATTTGCGGACTGAAGTTAGCATTAAGTTAGATGTCACTAAGTTGTCAGTTTAAATACATCTATGCTTTTGATGCATTAACATTTTAAAGTGTTTTGACATTCTTTATACATACCCTTTAACAAACAAAGAGTCTCTAATAAAACTGCCTGATTAATAAAAATGGCGCGGTTTTATATAAAACTTATGTACTTACCCCTAGGTTCAGATCCTTGCCTAATCTGCCTGTTCTTATCCCTCCACTCATCCTGATACTCCATATTATCCTTCCTCCTATTTGAATACCTCTTCGACCTGTTGTTCCCGAATCTGTCCCTCTCGTAGTTTGATTCGTTGCCGTTGTTTTGATTATAGCCCCCTCTGTCGTAGTCCTGCGATGAGGCAGTCTCTCTGGCTTGCGCCACCGGTTTGGGCACGTAGAGCTGCTGCTCAGGTTTTTTATGCCTGCCGCCTAACCTCGAACTGAAGCTGTTATTTTCCCGGGGCGATGAGCTTTCGCTCCTGTACTTTGCGTCTTCATTAGACATTGGATACGGTTTGGGGGTGTTTTGCCTTGAATTGTTTTCCGTCGATTCGTTCAGATCTTCTAAGCCTATGTTTGATTTTCTCAATGGTCCACTGCCTGGTCTGTATAGAGCTTGTTGTGGCTTGCCACGGTTCATATTTCTCCGCTCTGTGCTCGTAAACTCTAAAACAAGCACATAAAACTCGTTAATTTCGCGCCAGTACGGCCAGCAAACCGCCTATTTGTTTATAAACATTGATTGAAACACCTGGTGTTTTTAAGGTTATGTCGTGCAGATGCCCTTTAAAATCTATTTTAGTGCGTTATATTTATGCGCACAAATGTTCAACAAGCTTAAATAGTTGGAAAAATCACCTTAAGCACAGTATTTTCTTGACGGGTTAAAAGTAATTGTGGCAAATAGAAGGTGACACCTACCAGAACCTAGTTCTTTTTTGCTTTCATTAACGCCCGCCATGACATTTTACAGGTTTTTTTAATTTATATCAAACTCGAAACAAAAATTCGCAATAATATGTCACGCACTTTGAAAATAAAATTAATGTAACCGATCTACCAGATTACGTATTGATACGACAAATTTTTAAGTAAAACATTTCTTGGCGGGAAATTCAAACGCACAAAATGCACGGCACGGAAATCACCAACAAATTGATCGTAAGAAAAGCGGCAGCTGGCCCGTCAATTAACAATCTACTTGCCCCGGTAAGGAAGCTATCCGATTCCGAGAAGAATTTTCTAGCGAGCCGCACGGACGCCGATGCCGAACGCCCTAAAACCAAAGAAGCGGAAACCGAAATTCAAATCGATGGAAGAATCGTACTCGTATCCCGCATGTAAGCTTTTTGACGTCTATCTGTCATTATTTTTTGAGGTTAGGCGACTGTCAAATGTGACATAATTTTTATAATTAGTATATTACACTACAAGGGCAGAAAGTGTGAGATTCGCTTTCTGCCCGTGTAGTGTATACTATTTTTCTTACTACCTCGGCCGAAAATACGGGAAAAAATTAAATGTGTATTTTTGTACATATCTCCATTTGAAGAGCTTGATAAATAAATAACAGTAGGCCGTGAATTCAGCGGTGCCAATACAGTAAAAATAAAAGGTTGTATTTTAATTAACAAATTACTACTTTATAACAAATAAAAGTACCATTAAACACTTAAAACAACATAAAAAGTAAAAAAGTAAAAACATAAATTGTTTATTTGTTGTTATAATTGCAAAATTATGGTTTAAAACTGTTATATTTTTGTGTTTCTCATGTTGGCAGTACGAAATTTGAATGTTAAGCACACGACTAAAAAATGTTTACTCCCGCTATTAGAGTGTGCGCGTATAGCTTGACCAATGCATAAAACGTAAACTTTCTGCCGTGGAATCGGGGACGAAACAACGTATTTTGAGTCGAGGTAGTAAGAAAAACAAATATTCTAAAATATTTCAGCATATCGCCTCGCGAGACGGTCTCAGTGGCGTACACGGAAGACTTCGAGTATTTGGCGGGAGGTTACGCGGACGGCATCATCCGAATGTACAGGAGCGACAACAGCGAACCCTCGCACAAACTGGTCGACCCGGAAGTGACCAGATCGCCGGTGACGTGCATAAAACACAGGCCCACTTCGAAAAGCTACCCCATCTCCAACACCCTAACCTGCACATGTAATTTTCACTATTAGGTGATAAAATCATTTTCGGTAGCATCGGGGAAAAATTGAGCGCATCGGCAACGTCGCATTTCGAAAATTAAATGCGGCGTTGTCGAGTCTACGATTTTTCCTTTAATGTGGGTAAATTTATTGTTTTTTTTTTAATCCATTCAAAGCTTAGAAGATTCAAAGTTAAATTTGGAAAGTTGTCTTATAAATCAAAATACGCGGTTGCCAAATCTACGATTTTTCCCTTAATGTACAGTTCATTTTTTTTATCTGGACTTGTGTTTTTTTGTAAGGTAGGTGGCTTATGCCATTTTGACTTAGTATTTTTAGTACCTATTTAAAAATGGTACTCTTGCTAAAGAATTTAATTAAATACTTTGACACTGTCAAATGGACAATATTATTTTACTTGTCAATTATAAATAAAAAGATAATTATGCAAAAATAATAGCAACGAATTCGAATGTTAAAGTCCTTTTGAGGGCAAAACTTCATTTTGATGAAATTATGCCAAATGCCACAATGGAAGAAAAAGTATATCGCTTTATGGACATTTTTGGAGTCAAAAAGTAACGAATTTGGTTTTATAAATATTACATCACACATTATTTTCACATTATTCACCATTGGACAACATTAACGTTCACAAAAAATTTTAATTTCTTTTATATAAAGCGAAGATTATTATCCGCTAGGAATACTTTCTCTTCTGGGCCGTAAAGCAACCTATATTTAACTACTTTTTTTATATGATTTTACTCATCCAAGCACCACCAAAGCCAAATTAATTGCATTTTTAACTACGAATTTCGACAACTCAACTTGACAACTGCTCAATGTAACCTACAATAATTTATACATAACCACAATTAAATTTATAACTAGCTTAGTTTTGTTTTAATCAATGCAACCAACTTGAGAACTGTATTTACCAACCAAAACCCTAAATTTGCAACGTTGCCGCAGTCCAGATAAAAAAAATGAACTTTATATTTCCGTTTCTTTTTCAGACACTAATGGCTGCGTAAAGTGCTGGAATTATAATTTTAACCAGTGCGTATATACGATACGGGAAAAAAGGCAGACTTACGGTTTGACTTACCATCCTAGATTACCGAAGTTTGTTACGTATGGGGACGATATGAATATTTACATGTACGACGAGGAGACTAGAACGCAAGAAAGAACATTAACGAAAAGGTTGGTTCACAAAAAGATTTATCAAACTTTTTTTTAAATGTATTTGTTCGGTTTTGAAACCAAGCGCCTATACATCAAAATAACGAGTCTTAGAATATTTTGTAGAGTTTTAGGTTTAGTACAATTCAAAGAATACAATTGTATTCTAAACAACGAAAACAAATGTCTGTATTCGCATACAAATTTTTGTAATCTGGGTTGCCTATCTACATTTAAACAAAAATAAGATTCGATATAACAGAAATGCTCTTATAATCTGTGTTAGCGGCTTTAAAAGTTACATTACTTCTGCGAATTCTAAAAAATGGCAATGGCAATTGGCGTGTACATCCATTGCTTTTGATCTCCAGACATAAATAGTGGAAACACAATACCTTTTTCAAGTTACGAGGAAATAACGATTCTATAGTATACCTACCCGGTCGGAAAAATAAATCGGCCAGAGTTCGGCAAATGGCGGCCCGATATCGGTCGCATATCGGCTTTACGATGTTCGGTTTGACGATATCGGACAGGTTTCGGTCAGGTATCGGGTTTCGGATTTTCGGACTCGCGATATAAATCCTACATCGGCACGAACAGTTTTTCAGGATTTCGGTGAGTTATCGATTAGCCGAAGACTGACCGACATCGATTTTAATTTTGTTGCGCAAGATTCTGTCAAACAATACTGTCAATTGCAATTGAGGTTATAATCTACAGTATACACGTGTATATACCTACTGTCTGTCCACTCTAAGTTGGCGGAGCTAAGGAATTTTGTTGTTTAGATATTAAAGAATTGTCGTACTGTGTGCTTTTAAAACAGATTTTATATTATAAATAATACTAGTATATAATATGTACTAGTATTATTTATAATATAAAATCTGTTTTAAAAGCACACAGTACGACAATTCTTTAATATCTAAACTACAAAATTCCTTAGTTCCGCCAACTTAGAGTGGACAGACAGTACTTATATAGTAAATTATTTGTTATACAATGAATCGTCGATTTAAAACAAGAGAACGTGTTAGAAGACACCGTGATATCCAACGGGATTTGATATTTCTGCAAATGCGAGTGTCCGAAGAAATCAATAATGCCGAAAATAGTAAGTAAATTTAATTATTATTAATAGTAGGTACCTAATATATTTATATCATGTATACATGTATATTATAAACAATTGACTAGTCCATTTTGAAATTTAGCAAGAGCAGGAATTTGTTTTTTTACATATTTTGGGCTTTACTTAATATACTATAGGTATATAATAAGTAAAAAAACAAATTCCTGCCTTGCTAAATTTCAATGTGGACTATAGTCAATTGTTTATCAGCTATTTACTTGAAATGTAGAAAACTGCGATGGGCCAAAGGGTTCAGCTTTTGTTAAGGACTTGGGAATGGTACTTTCCAAATCTAGTGATTGGGAAGGAGGAAGAGCTAACAGATCAAAAAAAAGGAAGTCAATGGAGAATGAAGAATCTTAAAAAACATTTATGATACCTATGAGATATTTAGAGAATAAGTTATTATTTTATGGTTATTTAATAAAATATGTTAATTTGTTTAATAACAGTATTATTGAATTTTAGGCCTTCTGCAGCAGGCAGCCATATGGATGCAGCAGCCAGACGAAGTCAAGAATTGTCTATTATGATAAACACACAAATACTATATAAAGCTATAAAGCTTCCTCTGAGAGGAAGTCAAAAATTGTCTGCCCTTTAGCCAAGTTCTAAGCACCCACCAGGGTTGAGTATCTACCTACATTTTTGTTTTCGACATGTAGAAAACCTTTTTCGACGTTTTCGACGGTAGAAAACGTAAAAAAGTAGAATACTGTCAAATATCAAAAAATGTGAGGTTATGCAAGTTTGTTGTTTATTATGATTTGTTAAATGTTGTGAAAAATCAGACACCTACCATAAATTTGAAGTTATTTGGAGTTTTTTAACATTATTATGGTGGGAAAAAAAGGGCCACGTTTGGTTGGGAGACCCCAACATAATTTTTGGCATGAGGGCAAATTTTTATCAATTATAGAGAAGTGGAAGGAGAAGGTCGAATAAGGTAATTTACGTAGGTAGAAAACCCTATAGGTTTTCGACGCAAGTCGAAAACAAGTTTTCTACCCTTTTCTACCAAGGTAAATTACCTAAGGTTTTCTACTGACCCAACCCTGGCACCCACACACATATATGTATTTGTGTGTGTATCATGATAGACAATTCTTGACTTCGTCTAGCTGCTGCAGCCATATGGCTGCCTAGTGCGCACCAGGCCTAAATGTATTACTCCACAATTTCCCAAACTCGGTCCGATATCGTTAACTGATGTCGGGCCGATAGCGGTGGTTCTTTTCGGTACGATATTGACAATCGATTTCGGTCCGATATTAACAATCGATTTCGGTCCAATGTCGACAGTCGATATCGGCCCGTCTTAAAAAAGCGTTACATCCCGAATTCGGGCCGTCATTGGTCAGATATCGTTTTCCGAAATCGGCCGAACTAGAACCGAGTTCGTCCCGATATCGGCCCAAATCGTTTTTTCTGACCGGGTACTTGCATTACCTACATTGTTTTTTACATTTTTAAAAGGTTTATCTGTTTATTTATATTCTGCGAATTAATAATATTATAGTTGTTAATTTAAAATATTTACTTCTTGTATTCAATGCGACATTGGACTCACGTCGTAGATTCCAGTGATTGTGTCGCCATCTGCCGACAGAATTAGTTTTGAATACCAGTGGTGTCCAAACTTTTAACCTGATATCTATCCACAATTGTGTATCTATCTATCTTACATGATATTTTTTATCTAATTGAAAATATCACTTTAGTGTTAAAACACAAGAATAAAAAATGTAAAAGCACCCCATACTCCACAATTCAAACTGTTCTGAGATAATTTTAAATAGTTTTATTTAGTTGGGACGGTTGTAGAACATTTCAGACAGTTTTTCTCATTTTTAGTGACAATCCGAATGCTCACGACGGCCATACGTCGCGAATATACGCGGCCTGTTTCAATCCGAGATCCAATCACGAGGTGTGCACAGGTGGTTGGGACAATGTGGTTCAGTTTTGGGATCTTAGGCAACCCCACGCCATCAGGCATATAGGCGGGGTTCACATATGCGGCGAAGGCATCGATATCAACCAAAAAGGAACAGAGGTTTTAAGAAGAGATTATTCAAATTTTATTTCGTCTATGCGTTTTTATTTTTAGCTCATTACATGCGCCTTTCAAAAAGACAAGAGTATTCAACATTGGGATTACCCTTCTGGGAAGCTTATAAAAAATGTGGAACCGGACATACATCAGTCGAAGGTATCGTATATATTAGGGTGTGCCAAAAAAACTTGATATATTTTTTTTTTCTTGCTCTCCACCCAAAATATCGTAGAATATGTCCGAACAAATATTCTGTTAAAAGCGGAGCTCATAATTTCAATTTTAAGAGGTCCTTCATCGAATCTGAAGTTTTGCCGCTTAAATAACACAGAAAACTGACTTTTTTACCTTATTTATTCTTGCAACCTAGGAAGAATTTTTTTTTCATAAAATTTATGACTAATTCTTACAAAGCATTAAATTTGGACAAAAAATCTTATTAAGCCGAATTTCTATTTTCATTATTTGATTTTTTATGGACCTTTAAATTTAAAGTTAATAATACAAAAATGATGACTTTATACGCCTGTAACTTTTATAATATTGACGATACAAAAAATTCGCTTAAAACTTTTTTGTGGTCCATCAGACAAGCTAAAAAATTGCTATTTGACTTTTTCGTCTAACTTCAATAGTTTAGCTAAAAAAGGCAAAAAACGTAAAATTTTAAATTTAAAGCTCTGTAAAAAATCCAATAATGAAAATAGAAATTCGGCTTAATAAGATTTTTTCGTCCAAATTTAATGCTTTGTAAGATTTGGTCATGGATTTTATGAAAAAAAAATTTCTTCCTAGGTTGCAAGAATAAATAAGGTAAAAAAGTCAGTTTTCTGTGCTATTTAAGCGGCAAAACTTCAGATTCGATGAAGGACCTCTTAAAATTGAAATTATGAGCTTCGCTTTTGACAGGATATTTGTTCGGACATATTCGACGATATTTTGGGTGGAGAGCAAGAAAAAAAAATATCGAGTTTTTTTGGCACACCCTAGTATATATAGGATGTAAAAAAAACCTGCCACATTCCTAAACACTTTTCGCGGTGCTAATCCCGAACTAGTTCGGACATCCTAGGCATGCGCATTTTAATATTTGTCATGCGCACTTTACATTTTGAACCCCAAATTTTAAAAAGCGCATGCCTAGGATGTCCGGAATTAGTTCTTTGAAAATAGCCATTAATACATCAATACATTTTTAGCTGTACTGTGGAAAATACGTGGGTAAAGACTTTTTTGTATGCGGAGGAACCGACCCGAACATTTTACGATTTTTCGACATAGGAATGGGTTTTGTAATGATGAATGAATCAAAAATGTTTCTCTGTGTTATTTCTTTATTTTCTAGACTAAATGTTTAGTTCAAGATTTGCCGACTGCCGTATACGGCTTGGACCTCGGTCCACCGCCAAAGATAAATCCTGCAAATAGAAACGCCCCCATACAAAAAAACGAGTTAACTGGCGTGCCGAAAATCGCAGTGGCTGCCGGAAAGGGTTTGTTTCAATTTGAGCCAAAATAAAATGTAGAAGTTTTTTGAAATGCGTTAAATTAAAAGCTGTTGTTAAAAAAAATCATTTTTATTTCTATATGGGCTTTTTTTCATAACAAACGGACATGTCTACGATTTGGTTTATGTCCAAAAAGTGTTTTAAAATGTGTGTTTCCGAAAATAAACAATACAGCCTTTTGTTGCCTTTCGAAAAAAAATTCATTAAAGGAAAATAAAAAATTAGTAAATAAATTAATATTTTGAAAAACTGCCATTTTTTTAATTTTAACAAAATTTGTGCAAATATTGAGTATTAATTTTTTATGTAATTTAGTTGATAATTAAATGATAATATAAATTTAAATAAATAAAATCTGACGTCTGTTAAGCTGACTGTTTACCAATTTTTAATATTATAGTCGCCTTCTCCCAATATAAAAACCGATTGGTTCAAATCCCAGTGAATATTGAAATCGGCCAATCACTGATGCCTAACAACGTGAATAATTAGTTTATTATTCCCGTTGTTAGGCAGGGAATTTATTATGTTTATCAATATTCACGAAAAAATCAATAGGAATAAATAAAATTAAATGTTTATTATTTATTATGTTAATTTGAATTGTTAACGATATTTTGAAAAAAACAATTTTTGGAATAAGCTGTTTTTTTTTAATAACACAAATATTTTCTGCTTAACACAAATCTTCAGGTAAGCAAAAAAGGGATTTTTCTGGAATAAACTTTTATTTGTGTTAAGCAGAAAATATTTGTGTTATTAAAAAAAAACAGCTTATTCCAAAAATTGTTTTTTTTTCAAAATATCGTTAACAATTCAAATTAACATAATAAATAATAAACATTTAATTTTATTTATTCCTATTGATTTTTTCGTGAATATTGATAAACATAATAAATTCCCTGCCTAACAACGGGAATAATAAACTAATTGTATACAGAAATCTTTAGATTCGCCACTTGGTGAATTTAGGGACAATACGATTAAATTTTTTTTATTTTATCTCATTTTCTTAACAACCAGGTGTTTTTATGAGTAATGCATATTTTTTGTAAAACGCAGGGTAAAAAAATTTCATGTACAAAACGTGTTCTTAATTTCTGAGCACCCTGTACATTTGATTTAAACATTTTAGTTTCTTAAACAAGCAGGACTTTCTATAAAAAATATTTTATTGTAAAACGCAGTTTTTTCTATTGGCAATACGATTTTTTAATTAAAAAAAAAAGACTTTTTTAACAAAAGGCATGTGAATTTTTTCAAAATTTTCCAATGTTTAATTTCGGAAATGTTTTAAAACAAAGAAACTTCCATACATTTTTTATACTGTAAAATCCGCAAAAATGTGCTGAAATTTTAGATACAATACAATTTGTTGGTGCAGAATTAACTAATGATAACTTCACCTAATATAATTCATATTTATGTTTGGACATTTTTAAAAAATTGGTAAAAATAATTTTTGCACAAACATAACCTTAAAATCAACCATTTTTATATTTGAGTTCTCTAAAATACGCCGACAACTGCATTTTAATTCATGGCATCATAAGATTATATATAATACATAATATAATGGTATTTACCGTTGAGTGGAGACTTTCTTAATCAACGCTTTTAATAATGCTAAATGCTGTTTAAATTTAGACGATTATTACTGAATTGAAATTTAACACGTTTCACGTTAATAACTACTAAAATGTGTATATATTGTATCTAATAGATACAATTTATATTTACAGGGACTGTATGAAATTTATTTCTTCAGTCGGATTAACACTGTTTATTGGAAAACCGATAAAAACTCAACCCGGGATTTCCTCTCAAAATACACCCAACAACACAAGAAATCGTGCCACGGTTTTTTTTTCGATATTTTTTTAACATTTTCCGGCTTTATTCGCAAAAACACTCGTTTGTAACACACGCGTTTGACAGCTGATTATCAAAAGTTGGTTTGAATAATTTTGAAGTAAACCAAAATAAATACTTACCTTGTATAAACCTTGGGAAAGGGAGCAGATTAAAATGTGTTTTTTAAACGATCATTTTTATTTCTTCTTAAATGTATGAGAACAATTTCCATTTAAGCGATACATCATAATTTACATCTATTGTACAAAAAAAGTTCTATCACACAAATACACACAAAAGCAAGTAATAACGTAATGTACTATATTCTAGACAGTTTAAGATCTCATAATCTTACTTTAAAAATCATGTAACAAATAAAACAATTTTTATGTTGCGCATGCAATTTCATGACTGTTATTAATTAAGACTGTAAGTTGATGAGTATTTTTTTTTTGTAATGGTGAGATCAAAGGTGCGCAACACAAAAACTATTTCCAACTCAATTTGAGCGTCTCGGGCTGTAATTTTTCATTCCTAACGGACACACAGACTAGATTTTTAACAGCCAAGTCTATTATTTGAATAACAGCGACTTGAGAAATAAATCGTTGATATGTGGAAAACGAAAATCAAATCAATTATCTCTCCTGCGTTTCTTTCAGCATTATTGATTATTGTTTATCAGACTGGGCCAAAAATCGACTATTTTTTTGTAAAGTATATCGAAAATATTGTTTGTCCATAGAGAGATCTATAATCGCAATTTTAGATTTTTCTTGAGCGAGTTTTTGTCTCAGAACTCGCAAACCATCGAGTTTAACAAAATTGACTTAAGAATATTTTTTAAAGAAAATTGAATGCTCTACAAAAAAGGTTAAAGTGAAATTTTCCGTCAGATTAACCGTTTCCTTAAAATCATGCCTTAAAAATTGGTATAGTTTTACAATTTGATCCTTTAACTTTGGAATTTTGTAATTCATATAAAAATCACTACCCGGAAAAAACCTATAGATATTCTTATGGGAAATCAAATGCTCTACAAAAAAAGTCTTTTTACATTTTTGGCTAAATTCACTCCATCAAAAGTTATTCAAGGTTAAAGTTGAAGTCAAAACGAAATTCTTGTTTTTTCCGCTCTAGATTTTTTTTGGGTCAGTTAAAAACTTGAATTCTTTTATCGATGATAATCTTTATGTTATTGATAAAATTACTGAAAATTATAACAAATTCAAATTTTTTCGCTTTAAGAAGCTATTTTCTTTAGAAAATATTATTTTCACTGTAACCTATTTAATTTTTTAAATAATAACAATCATGTTATTTTTTTTGTTGGAAATTGTTAATTACTTATATAATACACATTTATAAAGAAAAAAAATCAAATTATCATCCATAAAAAATTAATCTACAGAGGAAAAAACAAGAATTTTGTTTTGACTTCAACTAACATTTTTTAATATTTAAAAAAGCTCACGGATTCTAAAAGGAAATTTAATGTTCTACAAAAAAGGTCTCTTAACATTTTTGCCTAAATTTAATTCTTCAAAAGTTATTCACGATTAAAATCGAAGAAAAACTTAAAATTTCAATTTTTTCTTCGTGAATAACTTTTGAAGAATTAAATTTAGGCAAAAATGTTAAGAGACCTTTTTTGTAGAACATTAAATTTCCTTTAAGAATCCGACTGAGCTTTTTTAAATATTCATTGATTCATTAGTGACAAAATTTCAAAGTAAAAAGGGCAAATCGAAAAAACACATCGATTTATTAAGCTCAATTACTCGGAAACGGCTCGACTGAGGAAAAATTTCAATCGGACCTTTTTTGTAGAGAATTTAATTTTATATAAAAATAAGTGAAAAGTAATTTGTTTCACTTTAGTGTTTTGACAGTTTTAACGTAAAACATCAAATTATGACTAAAAATCAAAAATAGCGATGATAGACCTCTTAAAATTAATATTAAGGGCTCAAATTTTCACGATTTTTTTTGTCATTCTGAATGACATTCTCGATATATTTTTCAAAAAAAAAATAGTCATTTTTTTGGCCCAGTCTATTTTACAAGAATTACAAAATTCCAAAGTTAAAAGATCAAAATGTAAAACTATACCAATTTTTAAGGCATGATTTTAAGGAAACGGAAAATTTAATTTTGACCTTTTTTGTAGAGCATTTAATTTCCTTAAAAAAATATATCCGAGTCAATTTTGTTAAACTCAATAGTTTGGGAGTTCTGAGACAAAAACTTGCTGAGGATTTTTTTTTTAAATTGCGATGATTTTTTTTGTCACCACAAACCACATTTTCGATATAATTTCGAAAAAAAAAAAATGTAGTTGATTTTTTTGGCCCAGGCTATTGTTTATGGTCCATAGTTCGACAATTTGGCAGTAGAGACGTTGTGAAATCACCGACCTCTCAATAGATGTTAATTTTCTCGTTAATTTTGTTACGCATTGTGTTGAGGTTTAAATTTAAGACGAATTATATCACAGAAGGAAGACTTTGCCTACTGAAAAGTCGGTGTTTCGTCTGCCTGAAGAATCATCGTTGGGTATATCTGGATAAGAAAATGTACAACTTTTAACAAGATCAAAAAATACATTTTGCTATTTACAAAAGCAACGTTAAAATTTTCCTTAAATTTACTTTGCACTATTTCTCAGTTTAAATCGCTTAAAGCTTCAGTGAATATTTATTTACACGTATTTTCAGCAACAGAGAGATTCTATGTCCACTAGTTGTGCTTTACACATTCAATATAATAAGCTTTTTCGTCTACAAAAAATGATTTTGAGATCGTTTTTCGTAGGTCGCAACACTTTGTAGACCAGGGTCGATAATTTTTGAGACCAAAAAAAATAACAGTAGGATGAAACCCATTGGAAAAGGAGAAGAATATAATAAAAATGAAAGGAAAAATAAATTACGGGCGATCTGACTTCGGGAAGTGGTAGGGGGGGTTTTAAGGGTAAAAAATGGTTTATCTCGATTTCCGGCAAAACTACAAGTCCTATGGAAAAAAGTTAAATGGCAAAGTTGTAGGTAATAAAAGGATCTACAACTTTTGTAATTACAATTTTTTTACATAACCTCAAAATTTATGTGAAAAATTCAAAAAACCAAGTTTTTGGTTTTTTATTTTTATCTTTTTCAAAAAAAAATTTTTTCCACGAAATTTGGTGAAAACTTACCTTTTTATGTCCCAAATACACTGTAATTTATTTGATTTGAAATATTTATTATTTCGCCTTATTTTGACTTAGTATCAAAAAAGCACCCTAATTTTCAATCGAAAATTCTCGCGTCAAAATATCAGCTTTTTTCAAAAAGTCGGTGTGCTTTTTGTTCGTTGAAATCTCTACTTTTTGATGGTGTAAAAAATATATACATTACTATGGTAAATGCTCTCAGAAAATGCAAGAAATATTATAATGAATAACGAAAAAAACTCGAATTCGAAAATTTATTTTAATCATTATGTACAATTTCATCAAAAAAATGTGATTGTTGCAATTTTTTTTAGTTAAAAAGTTTATTTCTTAAATTCTAATAACATTTATGTCAGAAAATCTCATAAAATATAAAAATACATGTAAATCATACTATTGAATTTAGATACTTCATTCTGATTACGTTATTCATTATATTTTTTGTATTTTCTGAGAACATTTACCATAGTAATGTATATTTTTTTTACACCATCAGAAAGTAGAGAGTTCATCGAACAAAAAGCACACCGACTTTTTGAAAAAAGCTGATATTTTGACGCGAGAATTTTCGATTGAAAATTAGGGTGCTTTTTTGATATTAAGTCAAAATAAGGCGAAATAATAAATATTTCAAATCAAATAAATTACAGTGTATTTGGGACATAAAAAGGTAAGTTTTCACCAAATTTCGTGGAAAAATTTTATTTTTTGAAAAAGATAAAAATAAAAAACCAAAAACTTGGTTTTTTGAATTTTTCACATAAATTTTGAGGTTATGTGAAAAAATTGTAAATACAAAAGTTGTAGATCTTTTTATTACCTACAACTTTGCCATTTAACTTTTTTCCATAGGACTTGTAGTTTTGCCGAAAATCGAGATAAACCATTTTTTACCCTTAAAGACCCCCCCACCCACTTCCCGAAGTCAGATCGCCCGTAATTTATTTTTCCTTTCATTTTTATTATATTCTTCTCCTTTTCCAATGGGTTTCATCCTTCTGTTATTTTTTTTCTTTTTACCATTTTTAAAGGCTTCTGCACTGGTCTATTGATACTAATTTTGTTTGTCATTTTTAATCATGAGCGGTTAATTGCAGAGCAGTTTATTTGATTATCGGGTCACAAAACGCAATCATGTAAAAAAATAAATAAAACTTATACAACAAGGGGGAACATCGTAAAATATCGAAACGCTGTACTCCGTTCGAAAGTGTGTTGTTTGTTGAATTTCTTTTGGCGGTTTATTGTCGAATACATACAGTATACAGGGGGCATTGGATAGAGAGTCAGTTGGCGGGGGAACAGTCCCCTGCGCGTTTCGCGGTCACAGCCTATTCGGGTACGTTGAGCATTACATGGTGTTGTAGACGGGGTTGTTGTGACGCGGCTTGATGCTGAGCCGCGCGAGCGGATGGCTTTTGCCGTACTGCTGCTGCTTCTTCGCCGCCGAAGCTATTACGGTCGCGGCCAGGGACGAGTTGCGCACCACGGGGATCGGAGGCCTCTTGAACTCCACGTCGTTCTTTCCTGAAATTAAATATTACACTTAGTTTATGGTAAGTTTATTAATTTTATTTATTTATATATTTTTATACAGTGTGTCGCACTTAAGATGAAGACACCCCCATATTTTCGCTATTTGAAGGAATAAAGGTTTGAATTTTTTCACATTCATACATGTTGATGGGTCACATTTTTTAAGCTACTCAACTGAAATCTGAACTTTAAACTTGGCCTACTACAAATTCGCAAACAGGACCAGTTCTCGATATTTTGCTTCGCGTTAGAGATATCGAGAAAAGTTATTGGAAAAAGTTGTTCAGAATATTATTCTAACCCCATTTACCGATTTTTATAACAAAATTCGCATTTTTTATTTTTTTTTATTTTGGTCCACACAAACTTATTACAAGTTCATTTTTTAGTTTGATAATAAGGGAGCCATGGAAAGTAAAAATTTGATACTAACTAGTGTTTATGACCGTTAAATAAATAATTAAAACAATTTTTGGAAATTACAAATCAATTATAATTTATTAAATTAAGGAAATGGTATAAAACAATAATAAAACTAATAAAAATAAATAAATTAGAAATGCGAATTTTGCTATGAAAATCGGTATACGGGGATAGAATAATATTCTGAACAACTTTTTCTAATAATTTTTTTCGATATTTCTAACGCGAAGCAAAATATCGACAACTGGCCCCGTTTGTGAATTCGTAGTAGGCCAAGTTTAAAGTTCAGATTTCAGTTGAGTATCTTAAAAAATGTGATCCACCAACATGTATGAATGTGAAAAAATTCAAATCTCTATTCCTTGAAATAGCGAAAATATGGGGGTGTCTTCATCTTAAATGCGACACACTGTATATAGATTTTAAAAAAAGACCAAAAAAAATCAGCGTTTTTTCAGATAACGTTAAGTGCGATCCAATAAAATGTTATCCACGGTATTCTATAACAGCTAGACTGTATAGTTTTTGAAAAAAATATATTCACTGAATAAAAAACGTTTATGCCACTTTCGGTTTGGCCGGAAGTGATATCAACTTGGTTATTTCAAATATGTTTACATTTTTTTTCGTTAAAATTTAACAAATGCGCGTCAATCAAAAATAACCGATAACTTTTTTGCGGATATGAGGGAGGAACTTTTGTAATCGTAATAATTTAAAGATTCCATGTCAATTCTTTAAAATTTTTCAACAAATTATCCAAAAAAAACCCAGAGCAAATTAGGCTAACTTGAAACGTTAATAACTTTTTATTTTCAATGTAACACCCTGTACGTTTTTATATACTTCATTTGTTTGTGATTTACCCCTGTAAAATCTTTATTTATTGTGACATTTTAACCGGATTTGATAAACTGTATATTTGGAGCAAAAAACACCATATTTTTACATACTATGTCAGTTTTTAAGAGTAAATTTTTAAGAATTCATATTAGCGATTTTTTTTAATACACTCACAGGCAAAATAAATTTTCGATGAATTTCAATCGCAAATAACTTTTTTATTTGATGTCGGAACTAAACGAATATTAAAGAATATTGTAGATAAATTAATGGACAATTAAAAAATTACTAATAAACAGGTTTAAACAAAAATGTGTTTTTTACCATAAGTTTAAGGCACTCTGTAGAGTGGCAAAACCGTATATTGTTCTAAATTAAGTTTTATTTATCAAGTCACATCTATTCTTAACAGTTTTGTTTTTGGTTAACCTTGATAAATTTATTTTTGTGGAAAATATGGATTTTAAAAAAAAAACATTGCAATTTCCAATATTTTTGATTCAGTGGGGTCTGTCTAAAATGTACTATACTTTTTTTTGACTTATGATATCGAAAAATTTCGTTATTTATTAGTTATATTTTTAGCTCAGATAAAGTTATTTCCCACAGTGAAATGTGTCAAAAAACTTGAAATTCTTAGTTAAAAAAAAGAGTTACTATAGTCTTTGTTGCATGTGTATATTTTAAATATAAGCATTGAGTAAGATGATCCAAGTTTGAATTTTTTTTTATATTTACACAATTTTGTTGGAATTTAACTGATTTTTTGTTTTTTTCGATAAATGTAAGCGTTTTAAAGATAATCGTGCAAGCGGAATAATAATACGTTTTGTTTAATATAAAGTATATCCCGTATATAGTGGTTAAAAACTTTTTCCGGAATAATTCATTGGTATAAATGTTATAAGGTATTTATTTATATGACAAAAAAATGTTTTAAATCTCTCTTATCCTTGTGTAGGTACTGGAATACTTTTTTTTAATAAATATTTTGAAATAAAATTGTTAAAAGTTTAACTTTAGTTGCGATTATATTTGAAACGCTTACATTTATCAAAATAATTAAACAAACCTTTTTATAGATCAGTTAATTTCCAACAAAACTCATTTCAAAATCCTAACTATTCTGCGAGTTGTTTTAAACCTTTTTTAGTAGAGCATTCAATTCTCTATTAAAATGTTTATTGAGCTTAACTTTATATTCGTTTATTAGTAAGATACAAAATGTAAAATTGGATAATATTTGAAGAATAAAACGACACACTAAGCAGAACAAAATTGAGTCAAAAATGAATATATAAGGCAGCAAAGGTCATAAGACGAAAGAAAATAAGAAATATTGGCCAAAGGGGTTTTGTCATGTTTGACACATATTTAGTATTGCAATTAGGGTTTAAAATTTCCAGAAAAAAATTGACTGTCGCATTTTTTCATTTTATTCAAAGAGTTATACGAAAAAATGCAAGTCAATTTTTCTGAAAGTCTACAGATTTTTTCGGATGATATCGACAAAAAAGGGAATTCCAGACGTAGATTATAATCTTATATATTAATATTCAGCGTTGGTTTTTTGTCGATATCATCCGAACAAATTTGTAAATTTTCAGAAAAAATGGTTTTTGTATTTTTTTGTATAACCCTAATTATAATTATTTCTTTCATTTTAATTTAGTAAGAATATTCTACCGGGTCGCAAAAGAAACATATTCGGTGCTGTATTAACATACAAAATTTAGATTTCACACTTTGATTTCCATTTAACGTTTATTTTCTTAAATCAATCTAATTTCATTGAATATTTCGTTTTTTTCTATATTTCCCAAAAAAAAATCAATTTTTCCCAAAAAAGACAATTTTTTCAAGGCTTTGGAAAAAAACGAAAAAAAAAACCAGTTTTTTCCACAATTTTTTCGTTTTTTTTTATACTTTGAAAGCCTAATTGCAATTGAGAATCTTATTGTACAAAAATGGTTTTGGACACCTGAAAAAGAATATAAAAAACGCTTATTTACCTTTGTTGAGGTTGGAGATGAAAATCTTGTCGTAGGGTCCCTTCTCGCCAACCTCGATGCACGAGTACCTAGCGTTACGATTCTGCCCGAACGGTTTCGGTCGCATCTCGACTCGCGCCTGCGTCTCCTCCTTGTTCGGCTCGAACATGCCGATCAGCAGCTTCATGCTCACCTCCTCCTCCGCCTTCTCCTTCGCTTCTTTGGCTTGCTGCTGCTGCTGCTGCTGCTGCTGGTGCAGAATGCTGTTATCCCGGTTTTTCGCCTTCACCGGGTCGCTGTTAACAACCGGCGCTTCCGCGTCGATATTCGTGCTCGACTTGGCTTCGAACTCTTTCTTCAAATTGCGCACCTTCCCGAACGAATTCTCGATCCCGTCCTCGCTTTTTCTCGCCGTCGTTTTCGAGTCTTTGTTGTGTAAACTTTCGAGAAGAGTTTTGTGCTGTTTAACGGAGGAACACTGCGCGGTGCTGATCACGTTCGATGCCGACCGCGAGAGGGCGCGCTCCTGCGGTATCAACTCCATCGACGACGGTTCGGGCGCGCTTTTAGACAACAGTCCCCTGCTCGTCAATTCCGCCGCGGGGATTTCGATTTCATCCGAGACGACGATCAACTTCTCGACGGGTTTCTCCGATATAGCGCGGCCGCGCATGTCGTACGAACCCCACGAACTGTTCCGAGATAACAGAGTGCGCGTGTCCCCCGAGCCCCACGAGCTCTGCCGCGACAGCTCCGAGTTGTTCTCGCTTTGGTAGCTCATAACTACGGCGCTGTCGTAGGAACCCCACGAGTTCTGCCGCGACGGGCATTTCTTCTCGCGTTTCTCCTCTCGATCGAACACCCTGTCCAGTTGGTTCGAAAACACGTCGCTCTCTTTGCGTCCTTTCGCACTTTTGTGCTTGAGCACCGCCGACGAGGTCCACACCGGCTGACTTTCACCACTAACACTATCACAGGCGTCGCTTTTACTAGTCGTCGTATTTACCGTCGTCGAATCCCCCGGATCCCAAGTCTCTTTGCTTTTGACTAAAAACTGTCTAGACTCGTCCATCGTCGTCTGTTGTTGTTGTTGCGGAAAGGAACTAGTATCACAGGCTGCCACTGCATCGAACTTCTTCGACAAATTCAAAACCGTCTTTTCGTTTTCCACTACGTCATCTTGGTGGTGTCCCGGCAAATGCACGATTTGATTCGGAGAAACACTGTACGATTCTCCGTTATCACAGGGCATCAAAACGCACACTTTATCCGACTCTTTCGACTTCTCCACCGACAAATTCTCCAACGACAAGAAAACCGGCGACGATTTGCTACCGTGCAACAACTCCCCAACAACGGCATTATCCGGCGACCAAGACTTAGGGCGAACACCAACCTGCTTCAAGTCCAAGGACTTCGATAGGGCTTGCACTATCGGCGTGGGCTCGCTGCCCACCACCACCCTCTCCTTATTGGGCGACTTCAAGTTGGTCTCGGACTTGGACCGCTGCAGCTTCTCCTTATTCTTCATCGCGTCCAAGATCCCTTGGTAGGTCTCCAGCTGCGACAGGAAGCTGCTGTTCGGCTTGATGCAGCTGCGCTTGTCTTTGACGAGGCGCAGGGCCGAGACGAAGTCCATGTCGTAGGCCTTCATCGCGTACGCGATGACAACAGAGGCGGAGCGGCTCACGCCCATCTTGCAGTGCACCAGCACCTTCGAGCCAGTTTCGCGCGCTTTCGTTATGTACTTGAACGTGTCGTCCCAGTGCTTGAGTAGGTCGGTTTTCTCGTCGTCGTACACGCGAACGTTCAGGTAGTCGAACGTTCCCGGGAAGAAGTTGTCGATCTCGCGCGTCACGTTCAATATGTGGCCCACTCTGGAATGACGAAACAATAACGTTAAAAACACTTTTTGGTTAGTGATGAGCGAAAGAAAATTTGAGCCATCTGTCACTCTTTCGTAGGACTACAAAGAAGCCGGACAGAAGATACATCAAATGTTGGGGAAAGTTAGAGTTTAAAAAACTATGTGAATATTTTAGTTTTGTTTAAAGACAAAAAAGGATTATAAAGAAAAAGGAATTTTTCAATTTTGCTTTTTTGTTATTTTTTTTTACAAAAATGTACTTGAATCGTCATGCATGTAAGACAAAATTTAGTGGTAAAATGATTTAAATGCAATTACTGTACTAGAACAAAACTTTATTTTTTAAAATTTGGGTAACCCAGCAAACCCACTAGTCCGGCCATGCAATGGCACATTAATGGGCCATTGCATTATGTAATGGTCCAGTAATGTGCCGTTGCATGACCGGACTAGTGGGTTTGCTGGGAAGTTTTATAACAAAAAGTATTATTCATAATCAGAATCTAATACAACGTTTTCTTCATCTGAATTAGCTGGTCTTGGTTGGGGTTGTTCTAAATTGGATTTTTTTGGCTCAATACTATGGTCCAAGTTTGTTTCTTTTTTTTTTTCTTTTTTTCTGATGGATCTCCATCGTGCTCTATGTTTTTATAAAATAAGTTTTAAATCGGCGGATTATAGTCCAATAAGGTACCTAAGTAAATTTTTGTGCATATTTTTTGCTGGAGTTACATGGCCTTCTTTTTCTACTTCTTCATTGATGTCAGGAACATAGTTATTTTGTTGAATCCTCATCAGTCTGGACCGATGCCATAATCGTAACGCTGGCTGATGTTGTTCCGACCCCGGTCACAATATGTCGAAACGAGCTACTTGTCAAGGCTTTAGCAGCATAGATAATAGCCTATGTTTAGCAGTAAAAGGTGCACTTAAATCGTTTTACCAAAGATATATTTTAAAATATTTTGATAGGTCTTTAAAGACGATAAGAAATGGCGCCAGGGAATGTAAAATGTACTTATATAATTTTACCACCAAGTTAAAAAAGTGCACTTGAACCGTTTTACTTCCAAGCCCCTCAATTATATTACCCACAATTGTGATATTACCTACTTTAGGTATACCATTTTAAAATAAAAATATATATATATGTTATATAATATAGAAATGTTAAAGGTTTAGAAATAAAGAACAGACTGAGTAATTTTAATCTTATTTTTACCTAAATATGTGGTATTTATTTAATTTGTTTTTATTACGTTATTCTTTTGGTAGATTGGAAATTTTTACCGTTTTCGTTTACTGTACAAATAACTTTAAAGTCATCTTATGAGTAAAATGCTGCTTGGTGAATCATTGTTAAATATTGCACAGGACCCTTACCCATTCTTCTGCAACTCCTCGTAGTTGGAAGCATTCCACTCCGATCCCAGGTACACGTGTTCGAAGATTTCCGTGGGCGCGTCCATCTGGCCCAGGATGACGAGCATCTCCTGATCGATGAAGGACTTGTACTCGCCCAAGTCCATGTCGAGCTCGTCCTCCAAGCGCGTCCTGATCACCTTGCTGGTCACCTCGTCCAGATCCACCGACATCATGATCTCCTTGAGCGTCGCGCGGATGCAGCGCTCGGTCTCCTCGCGCCGCGTCGGCTTCGTCCGTATCGAGTCGGGCGAGGGCGGCCGCCTCGACTCGAGGTTGTCCATCGCGTGCCACTCGTTCAGGCACGAACGGTCCGATTCGATGCCGTCCTCGTAGTACGAGACCCAGCCGTGCGTCATGCCGCCCTGGAAGTAGTTCTGCTCGCGCGCCTTGCCGCTCACTTTGTGCAACGTCTGCAGCGCCGACCTGAGACAGGAGAGAGAAAATATCGTTACAACAGTGGACAGAAAATTTATTAGAGATGGGAATCGGAAAGTTTCCATTTTAAGGAAACTTTCCGTTTCGGAAAGTTTCCAATTGGGAATTTATTTTCATTTTGAAAGTTTCTTTTAAGCCACCGGAAACATTCCTTGGAAACTTTCCTTGTTTTTTTCATTTAAATGTCAATTGTTTAACCGCTGATTTTCGTTAAGGCCATGATACAAGGCCAAGAAACTTTGAATAAGAATTTAATGTGTGTTAATTTAAAGCAGAAGAAGAAGTATAAATAATGTAAGTTATGTTACATAACCTCAATGAAAATCCTATTTTGTGTTTACTTTTGCTATTTTTTTATGTGCAATGGTAGTCACTACTAGTCAGAAATGTTAATTTTATTTTGCATGTAGTTTTTTCTTTCATATTTTATCAGTCAAAACTGCAATACTATTTTTAGTATCTTTTACTTTTCAATATTCCTATATATTAGTTACATGGTCCCTTTTAATTTTTTTTACGTAATATCTAGGATTTACTAGCAGTGAATTTCTAATATTAAACATTTTATTTTTATTTTGTATGTTTTAGTATACAATAGGAATATTCCGAAATAAAAGATACTAAAAATAGTATTGCAGTTACATTCTTATAAACATTTTTTTTTATTTTTTTTTCTTAATAAAATTTAACAAAAAGTTAATGTGTTATATATTTTTGCAAATCCCTGACATAAAAAAAAAATTTCGCTATACAAAATTTTTTATTGAAACTTTCGGGAATTTTCGATGGAAAGTTTCCGGGAATTTTCGTCAAATGGGAATTTTCCCATCTCTAAAATTTATTCTTAAGAAAACAGTTTATGACACAGGGCTATGAGACTCCGTTTGTGTCAAAATTAAAAGAACAAAATAAACCTATTTTGCTTTATGAATAATTAATTATACCTATGCATTATTTACCAAATTATTTTTTTATTCAACTAATTTTTTTGTCAAATTATTTTTTTATGAAATTATTTTTAGGCTAACCTGACTGATAAAATGATAAATCACAACCTACATTTTTCTTAAAAAAAAAACAAGAAACAAAATCCATGTAATACCTCCTTGACTTCTACAAAATTGTCATTTTTAGCCATATTTTATTTCTTTTCGACAAAAATATACCGTGTTACATATCAAACAAAAGTATTTTTTTTTCAAATGGTAATTTAATAAAATAGTAGACAATCTAAAGAATTTCTTGCTGTATCTTGCAAACTTCAAATTGTTTCTATTATGAGATTTTTGAGTATCAAAATCCACATTACAATAATTATTATTGTTAGTTATTAAATAAAAGGTTACAAAAAAAATTTCTTGACAGAAAATTTATCCTAGTTTTTTAGCCGAATCTATCGACGCGTTTTTTTAAATAATATTAAGTGTGGTAAAATTTCTACTTTTGTATATACCTCAGAGTATTAGTATGAGTACTGGGAACGTATGGCAGGCCCCAAATACATTATCCTCCACTGATCTCCCAGGGTTATTTTACCCCGTTTCAGTTCTCCTATCCCGCCAAATCACAGCATTACCTGTGTTTGTTGGATCCGAAGTTTTTACGCCGGCTGGTAGATCCACCCTAGAAGGTCGTGGATGACAGTGTTTTTGGTTAAGGCCGCTCCACGGATTTTTGTCAGCCGGGTCGGGCCATACGTCCAGTTTAGGAAGGGTTTTTTGAGGACATTCAACTGACCCAAAACTAAGTACAATCCGGAATCCTGCTCAACCAGGGCTTTAGTAATAACCCCATTCAGTTGGGATTCCTGAATGGGGGTAGGTGGTTTAGTATGCTGCTAGAGCCTTTCCTTGATGGTGTACTTCCTGTTCGTCACTGTCCGAGTCGGATTTCGGTTCCTGATAGCCGCTTTAGAATTGTTTGCCTCCCTGTGCGATATTGAGTCATCTTCAGAACCGAAGTGTTGCCGGCCGCACCCCGCCGTAATTAGTGCCCTCTGACTATGTGGAAATTCGTTTAACCTACTGGAATTGTCGATCCTCGAATTATTTTTTTTTCCACTGTGCGTGATCCCCATTCACTTGGGGTTGGGTCCATCTTTGCGCCTCACTGTGCAGTGCGGCTATTTTACGCTTAGAACGGTTTTTACCTAATTTATGACCCCCTTAACGTCTTAGTAATTTATAGATGTAAACATAAATAAATAAATTTCTTTAGGATGGTTTCTTTTGCCTAATGTTTATCTTAACTTGAGTGATTAATGGCTTCTTATGTGCCCTTGCGTTTATAGTTTTTTTTACTATGTTTCATTTGCATGACAATCTTGGAAATTGTTTGCGACTAATTAATTTACCTGAAGAATTATTGTTAGTTAAAGGTTGCGTATTTCGTATTAACTAGTATTAATATTATTGGGTATTATATGGTCATGCAATTTTGGTAGCTACTTATTTAGTTTATGCAGACTTGGACTTTTGCACTTGTTGCACTTTTCGCACTTGTTTGTTTATTTATTTATTACCGATTACCGATATATCCGGATACTAAAGCGAATCTACTTTTGGTACTTTACTACGTTTGTATCGTATACGTATATATACCCTGCTTGGGAGGGATCTCGTAGAGCGTCCTACCACTTCAAGAGTCAATACCCAACTGTACTTTTGTATATACCTCAGATAAGTAGTAATTTACTTTTAATTTTATTCAAAAAACACGTCGAGCGATTTGGCTAAAAAACTAATCAATGTAACCTATTTGTACAAAATAAGTACAGTGTAGAGTTTTTTTTATTTAATTGCAGAAATTCATTTGCATACTTTATTTCTCCTAAAATTTTACAAAAAACCACCTTAATTCCCAAATGAAATTTGTAATTTAGCCGTGGGAGCCCTGATAACATTTGATTGAATCTGATTAATCGATGACTCTCATTGGGACAAACTACATTGACCGGTAAAAGTATGGAACAAATTATTTTTGTAAATTCATAATGTAAGTGCCTTAAGCGCCTCAAGCGTCATGCCGCATTTTTCCAATTTTCAATTAATCTGACCCAAACAAATTAAATAATTAAGTGCTGCCAGAATTCCACAAAATGTTTTATGCAGATCAGTGTAATTTAATCATCATAAATTGAAAAGATAAAGCCAAACGGGTTCATGAGCATTTGGAACATTGTCCTGCTTAAATGCCATTTATACGGCTTTATCGTTTTATACAGCGTCAATTCTTCTCCGGATTTTTAGCGATGTTTAATCCTATTTATATAGTGAATAACCCATTTGAAACAGTATTCAAATGTGAAAATATCGAGGCTAAGTTGGCAGTGGTGTGTTTACAGATTAGGGCATAAATAAATAGTATATGATGGTTTTATAAAGAATTCATTTCCTCTCACTATTGAAGGTAATGGGTATGTATAATTATGGAATAAATGCAACCTGTAATGCGAATGAATAGGTATTACAAAAATCAATTGCTGGTGCGAAATAACATGAAAATTACCGCTTAAATGTCAACAAACATAATAACTGTGAACTCACATAAGAAGAAATGTTAATTTAAACGCACAAAAGAAGGAAATTTTCCACTATTATTTATATACAAATAAAATTACCAGTATTTCTAATAAATTAAACATGAATTGCCTCTGATTGATCGATTATTAAGGCGAGCAAAATAAAACAACTCCACATCATCAAGGCTAGCAGCTAGAACACTGTTCACTTGTAAATTAAAGCTGCATATTAATCCGCAAAAATGCGACATATTTATTGCGTTTTATATTTATGAACTGCAATAACAAAAAATATTATTTTAAGTTTGTCGTCATTTTTTTCTGATAATGATGGAATGAAATGACAAACTACTTATTAGGGTGATTCTACAAAAGTTGGACAACTTGATGTCATCAGTGAATAGAGTAGTTATTTTAACATTTTTTGTAAATATTTTAGTATATTACAAAAGATCCAGGTTTTTTTTAACTTGTCCACCCAATTTTGATGTATTTTTGCAAAAGCACGTTTGTAGAAAAACATAATAAATATTCAAAACATCAGTACCTTGGCGTGTCACAACTCCTGAATCAAATATTTGAGTGATTTTATTTTAAAATATATTCAATTTATCTTAAATTTTTCAATTTCACTACAAACTATAAAACATTAAATAATGTATTTTTCATATTTTATCATAGATTCGAATAATAGCAACTTTTAAAAAATTGATAATCTTTCTACTCACTTTTACCCGTCAGTTCTGTGGCCAATGTTAAAATTCAAAATTCCTACGAAATATTGAAGTTTAAACGTAAAGTCCTCGTTTTAACTCAAGTGTTGGTAAAAAATTACCTACAGAGCCCGCCCTTTGCACGACAGTCGTCTTGAAAACAATGCAAGCGGCGAATTTGTGGTGAATGCACGTATAGTTCCAGTCAAAATTTCAGTACTGCGGTGAGTAGGTATTTTCTTACGTATATATATTTCATTGTATTTTATATAAGGCTATATGTAATTTGTTGATAAGTAGCATCCAATAATAAAAAATATCAGTAAAATACTTAATTCCGAATTATAATCTCAAATTTGTATCCCATTTATCAGTACCGTGTCGTCACTTCCATTATTTTAATTTAATAAAACTTTAATTTAAATTCTGCTTGCGCAGAACTTGTTTATTTATTGTTATTATAATCTCATATGAATTTGGTGTGGCTCCAATATCTAATAATTGAGATATCGGTATTCCCAAAATCCACCAGCCGCCACTGATGTGTGGTATTATTTGATTTTAAGATATTTAGTTTATAATATGCTCAAAGTTGCAATAAATCTTATATTTTTCAATAAATTATGTATTTAATTAGTACCCTGGTATACTCTTCACTTCCCTTGCATTCAAATTTAGAAAACACAGATATTCCAGAAACTGTTTGAAAAAGTGACTGGCCCGGTCTGGAACAGTATATTTATTATATTATCTAT